TGTCATGTAGCGGGTTAGAACTCAAGACAAACCTTCTGTACTGTGTGTGGTGTGTACTTTGTAGTGGCAAGGATGTTCTGGTTCTCAATCCTGGACTGGTATCCAAGTCAACTTGCTCGGCTACTGATGCGCAAATCCGTTCGTTTGATGCATCATCCACTGCAAGTATGTACAGTGTAGTTTCTAGTGCCAAGTGTGCTGTTATTTTAAGAAATGTTAGAAATTGTCCAACCGTGCTGTGACCCACCTTTAATTGGGACCTCGTGGCCTCTCACATGGGTAACATCAAGAGTACATAACCCCAAGAGTGTGCAACTGCCTGCACAACCTCTATGCTGTGCTGCGACGGCAGAACTTCACATCACATGACATGGTTCAAAAGGTTATGCTGGCAAACAGTGCAAAAGTGACCACAAGAGAGTTGTACCCAAAGCTGGGCTGCGTACAACCCTGTATCTATCATGCACAGAGTGCAAATAATGTGTACGGGTTCATCACGTGATGTGAAGTTCTGCCGTCGCAGACCCCATAGCTGGAGTTGCACACTCTTGGGTTATGTACTCTTGGTAACATGGATGCAGCGAATGGGATTTTCGGTTTTTGACCACTTTGCCGGTGGGTCTGCGCTACTCACCTCCCACTACTTTAGGAGCTTCATCTGCGTCTTGACCCTTGATCCTTGAGGGTGGTGGCGTTCCTGCAGTTGCGGAAAACTCAGTCTGACTGACTCTCACATGAACCGTAAAAATCATTGCAGAATAATTCCCCAGTGGGGTTGGCATTTTTCTCCCTTGTTTTGGCAGTTCACTTCCCTGAAGAAAAATTGACTGCCACCACCAGTACTCGAACCAGGGACCCTCATTTATGTTTTGATTGTTCAGTGTATATTGATGCATTGTATGTCTTGTTATATCATGATGATGTTGTTGTTCTTATTGTTTGAAATCTTTATTCTCACGATGGCCTTGTATTTATATTTGTTCTTGTTCTTCTTTTTGTTCAGATGACCAATTGGTGACATGGCAGGAAAGCACTGCAGAAGACAGTATGGATGAAAGTGTTCGCCTCGTGCTCCAACACCACAAGGTAAAACATTATCCTCTACATAGCTCACCCTGCTGCTGCTAACCACCGCCAATGTACAACCCACTACATTGCCATTGCCGCCTGCTGCTACTGCACTGCTGGTTACTTACAAGCATGCAAGTCCATCTTCACCAAGGAAATAGTAACCTCGCATATCGGAAGAGTGCCCAGTGTAATACCGGTGAGCGGAGAGGCGTGATCCATTGGACCACCAAAGCCCACATGTATACATGTAGAACAAGCACATACAAAGATCGTGGGCTGCTACTCCACAGGCACAGTCATGATTATCGTTCCTCGACTGCAATGGAAATCTTGCTGATGCGTCTGAGAGATGGTGATATTTGTTTATGACAGAGAGCACAGTTCAGTATGTTTATTTTTCCAGGGCAACAATTTGAACTGGCTTTTCCCTGTTTGAATTCAATGTACTTGTACATGACCAGTGATGAACCATTTCTCATCCTGATAAACACTGGCCAGAGAATTGATATGCTGCTGTTATCCTTGTTCTTGTTGGATGTGTAGACAATTGATCAGGTGACGTGGCATGGCAAGGGCGACTACTTTGCCAGTCTCTCCAAAGACCGTAAGTGTACATGCACATACTTTTTGTTGCTGCAGGCTCTGCACGTATTGCATACTGCGTAATGAAGAGTGGAAGCGTCATTGTGTTACTTGCACTGCTAGCAACTGGATCTTGATTGCTCTGGCGTTGCTGGTATTGTGAAGTAACACAACGCAGTCAGCCGTACTATTGATTTACCACACGTATATAATACAGTGAAACCTGTCTAAGACGACCGCTCGGCGCTCAAGCGACCTTCAAAATCTGGTCTCTGATACCAGGTGGTCTTCTTATCCAGGGTCTTTTGACTGGAAAAAGCATCCCTTGGTCCTGGTTGCAGTGGTCTTCTGGGACAGGTGGTCGCCTTGACAGGTTTTACTGTAGTAGAACCTCTCTTCTCTGGGCCCAGGCTCAGGACCGAAGGGTGCCTGCTTGTTAGAATCCTCCGTAACTTGAAACACACTAGACAATGGATATGGCATGTCACTCTCTTCAGTTTTCCTCACAGGCCCTAGATTGATACCATTCACAAGCACACACACACAGCACACACAGCGCACGCAGAACAACAGCTGGCGGTTATGATCTTTTATGCGCTGAAGTAGTTCACTTGACCAGCACGGAAAAGGGAGACGTGTTCAAGATTTAACTGCTGCATGTACAGTGTACCTACCTGCTGGATAGTCCCAAGTTGTGTGTTGAAGCATGGTCTAGGTCTAGGGACCTGGGTCTTTGGACCAGCCGTTACTAACACACAAGTGCTTAATCACGTTGATGCTTTGTATGTTCTCTCTTGTGTGTATGGGTTTGGTTTCTTACTTCAGTCTTGAGCACAATGATCTTTCTTTTCTGTTTTCACCATCTTTGTCTCAGAAAACAACCCATCGAAGAGTGTCTTCCTTCACCAGCTTAGTAAACGTCGCACTCAGGTACATGACTGGACTGCATGGTATTTCACAACTACATGTAGTCTTATCCCTACTGACACTGTGCTACGCTGTATGTGTAGCACTGAAGTGCTGCTAAATTCCAATGCAGTCTTAGTCTTGTTCTAAACTTATGCTTTGTGCTTTCGCACAACAAAGTAAGGATGTTCAGAGATTGACAGCAGCATACATGCAAAACAGTCTATTTCATGATAATTTACTCCATGTACTTCGAAGTGCAAGTTCATGACTTGCTCTGTGTCGTGGACTACTTAGTTGATGTCAAGGACAGCAACAATTTTGAGTCCCTCGTATTTTGTTAGTCCCATTGTAAAACATCCCGGCCATTGGACTACCAAGTGGTGCCTGTACGGTTAGTGACGTGGGCCTGCTTCTAAACAATCACTGTGCCCTCTTTTTTTTACCGTACGCTTTGGCCAGGTTCATGATCATCTTGTGTGGAGAAAGGACGGCAGCCTCGACTTTTATAAATTGCTTGATATTATCTAGTCTTTGCAGTGAAAGGGTTCAAAAACGTTTAGCCATTGAACATGTTTATCACGAGTATCGCACACCTTGATGTATTGCTTCAAGTGCATGTCCAGGTTTGCAGTACGGTGAATAATGGATGAACACGTACGAGTACTTGAGCAGGTATAGTACAAGTACAATGGATTAGTACTAATGAGTATGGGCATTGTGTATGTGTGCTGTATATGTGTGCTGTGTATATGCATTGTGTCTGTGCATGTGTGCTGTTTGCATTGTGTGTGTGCCTATACCTCTCTCTAGTGTACCTTTGGTACCGTGAAGGGCCTGCCGCAATGCTGCCTCTTCCACCCAACTATGCCCTTCTTCTTCCTGGCAGTAAGTATTCCGATGCTGCTCATGATGCTGATACTACTGCTGAGACTGTTGCTGATATCACTGCTGATATCACTGCTGATGCTGTAGGGCTTGAGCAACGAGTCAAGTCTCTCTTCTTTCGAAAATAATTCACCTCTCACACTCATGGTGCTGAAGATGGAAGTTTTGCTCAATTTCATTTCTAGGCTCCAGTCACACTGAGACTATACAAAAAAAAGCTGTGTTTTCCACTGCTGAGGCAAATAGTTTCATTTCGGTCATATTGTACTTGCTCGCTGATAATCGCTGCAGCGTTTTCAGCTAGTACCATGGAAACTGTTCAAACTGCGACGCGCGCAGAAGCTTGAAAGAAGATTTTTATACTCGATCTTCTCACTGTGGTACCATGTACCAGAGCTCGATCAGCGAGCTCGATCAGCCCAACTTCCAGCTCATCCGTCCACTCCATGATCAGGAGCGAATCCTCAAAATTAACCCTGAGACCAAGGGCGTCGAAAGGTATTCTACATTTGTGTGGCTATGAAAAGGTGCGGGGTCCGGGGCCCAGATAGCCCATATTTCATAGCTTCAACATGCACTTTTTGCTGCTGCATCCATGATAGTCATGACAACAGCGGAAAACGCTACAGCGCTTATTTTTTATTTTGTCTCGGTGTGACCGGGGCCTAATGCAGAAGCAGTGAGTTTGGTGGGTAGGGACTAAAAAATGCGAAAACCTTCGTTTTGAAGAGAGAGAAAATGATAGGTACTCCTGGATGGTTCCCTGAGCACCTGAATGCACCTGTTTGTCTTTCACTGGCAGCGAGAGTGGCTTCACATCTATCACTTGACCATACAGGACAGCCATGTTGGTTCCAACTCCGCTCAATCCCTGCATCTATGTGTCGCATGATGTCGGTGGCCATGCTAGCTAGTTCCACTATCCGCATGCCATGATCTCTTGCTACACGAGTTTAGTAGTCACACGACAAACTGATGTGAACACCACTCTATACCGCCTTCAAGCGGGATTCAGAGAAGCTTTTTTACGAGGCAATGCACGGTGCGACACGATCTGCGACCGTGCAGTGTGATGCGACGCCGCCACCTTGCTGGTGAGCCGCCTCAAAGCCAAAGGTCAATGCAGGTGAGTACATCACCATGGCGTTCGCATGGCTGGGTACGAGGTGATTCGCAATTTTTGGACAAATCAGTTAAATACGGAAGTAGAGTCCTCCTGAGTCGTTGCCCTTTCCTTGGTGGACAAATCCTTGACAAGAGTGTCTTCGTGTGGTCCTCAAGTTTCTTCCTTCCTATTTTCAGCGGCGAAAGGCGTTTCTTTCTGGGCATTTTCTTTACTATTCTTAGGTAATGTATTGAGTAATTTCGAAAATTTCGATTAAATAGTAAATAATGGAGGATTCCGTCAACTCTACGTCGCATGACGGAGAGAATGTCGACATGGGGGATGTTGTATCCCTTCCATCAGCCCCAGAGACTACGTCTTTCACCTTGAATCCGCCTGGAAGAGTCTCCTCGTCTTCTCAGCCCGTGCATTTGTGGAGGAGTTCTGGTCAGGAGAAATCTCTTTTAGCAGTGCGAGCGTTCCACTCACCTGGCACCAGTGACCACTTCCTAACAAAGAAGGACGCAGCGGCTAGTTACGGCGCTAGCCCTTCATTCTTTGCGAAATATGAGAAGGAGATGCGCCACACTGGAGTGCTCTCCTCTGTTCTTGAATATGACGTCCATGAAAACCCTTGAGTGACCCTTTAAATTGTGTGTCACATTGAAAAACCTTGAAAAGCTTGCTATGAACGGCCTGTCATTAGAACTCATATCAGCCGGTCTCATAGGCATAGCCTTACCCCATTTTCATGTCCTGTGCAAGTTTACTTGTCCACACCATTGCAGACTGCTGCTAGATGCTATTTAATTCCCGTAGCTATGCAGAAGACGTTACTTCAGTAACGTCTGGCGCTAGCCAGGGTCCACACAGCTTTAATTTGGTGTTTGTTTGTTTGTTTGTGTCACGGCTGGAGCTATCCCGTATCTGTCCCGTATCTGTCCCGTATCTGTGACTACAAAAGGCTCTACAGGATTGTACATAACAGCTGTCCACAATATTTGCGGGCTCCTGTATCTGTCCCGTACCGTACCAATATTCGTCGTATTATGTATACGACTCCCTGATGTAGAGGGAGATTTGGAAAGAAATAGGGAGACGAAGAGGAAATTAAATTAGAATAGACGCCGATTAGGTGATAGGATGCGTCAGCATAAACATACTTTGGAAGAGAGATCCCGTCGTCTCCAAAATAAGCGTGAACGAGCGATTCAGTGCCGGCCACAGGAAACGTCGGAAGAGAGATCCCGTCGACTCCAGAACGCCCGTGATCGGTAGAGTCCGGCGGTACCAGGCAACGTCAGGACAGACATCCCTTTGAGTCCAGAACGCCCGTGATCGGCCGAGTCTAAGCCGATCCCAGGAAACGTCAGGACAGACATCTCGTCGAGTCCAGAACGTCCGTGATCGGCAGAGTCAGCGCCGGTCCCAGTAAACGTCAGGACAGACATCCCGTCGACGCGCAGAAAAACTAAATCTGCAGCCTCTTTTGCCGTCGAACAGGATACGTTTTATATAGGAGACTGTAAATTTATGTAATGTCCAAATTTCGACGTGAGCAGCAGGTCACTCGCGTTGATTTTTCGACGTGCGAGCCAAATAACGCGAGCTGAACTTTCGCGTCGCAGACATCCCGTCGACGCGCAGAAAAACTAAATCTGCAGCCTCTTTTGCCGTCGGACAGGATACGTATTTTAGGAGACTGTAAAGTTATGTGATGTGCTCCACAGGCAACCATGCATTCGGCGTCGTCATTGGCTCAACAGGTCAATGCACATGTATTACTACAAAAAGGCCAGAAAATCCGATCACTGTATTAAAATCAACTAATGTTCGCTGGCGATTTAATTTCGCTGATTTCGCCGCTTGGTACCAACCGGCCAAAGTAAATCGCAGGCCAACGTTTGTCATATAGGCAAATGATGCATGATTGAGCAATGGATGCATGTGAGAGCAAAAATACCGATCGATTTCAAATTTGACGTGAAACTGCGCGTCACGTCGGAAATAACGTGCATCTTAACCTCTCTAATAGAGAGGTTTCTATTTCTCATCGGCCAAAATTTGTTGATTTACAATATAAGGAGATAAAAAGAAAAGAAGGAGCAAAACAAAAGTAGATGATTATTAGAGAAATAACAATCCGCAATAAATTCTGCAAATACTTTTGCCTAACTCATAAGCAAACCGATTGAAACGTTTTTGCAATACAGTGATGTGGCCAATCAACGAAAAAGACATTCCCATCAGTTCTTATAACATGTACGATGAGCTAGGCAAAAAAGCATAAAAGCATAGCGCAGGGCCCTGAGCTTCCAAGCTCTCTCGTTTAGTTGTCCAATAATTGCTCGCATTGAAAAAGCAGTAGAAAAAGACACCTTCGATCAGGTCAAGTTGTGGCCACACGCTTCAACTCTAGGCCTTCAGGTGTGTGTGGTGGTGGTAAAGCATAAGTGTGCCAATAGAAAAGTAAGAAAAAAAATTAATTTATTTTACAAACCAACATAATAGGGTGCTATTTAATTGAGTGTCCAAAAATAGCAAATGACCTCGTACAGCAACTCTTGAACCTTTCGTACAATTTTACTGCAAAGAAAGTCCAGATCGCACATCGCATCGCGAAAGTTGAGCCAAGCTCAACTTCTGCGGTTGGCCAGTTGTCACCGTTGCGTGAGCTGCAAGATTGCGATTTGTGGATTTCCCGGTTTCGCGGCCATCGCATCGCCAAAATGCTTCTCTGAATCCCACTTGAGCCATCATCTTCTATTTTTGTCTAAATTCCGGGATCCTTGATTGAAAGTTGCAAACCTTGAGATACCTAACCTTTTACAAAGTGAAGTGACCTTGCTTGTTTCTCCCCTTTCAATGCAGACACAACGCTCTATTCGAGTGTATAACTTGCAGAAGAATGAACTGAAGAAGAAGCTAACACCGGGTGCAAAGTGGATATCCAGTCTTGCTGTCCATCCGCAAGGTAAGTGTACAGTCTGCTCTCTCTCTCTCTCTCTCTCTCTCTCTCTCTCTCTCTCTCTCTCTCTCTCTCTCTCTCTCTCTCTCTTTCTCTCTCTCCCCCTCTCTCTCTCTCTCTCTCTCTCTCTCTCTCTCTCTCTCTCTCTCTTTCTTTCTTTCTTTCTCTGTGACAAAGGCCAAGTACTTACCCATGTGGCGCCCATTGGTAGCAGATAGAGGGCTCGTTGTGATCACTGCCAAGGAAAACTTGTGCAACATTGTTTGGCGGCTCACCATGATCACAACCGAGGAAATCGTTCTCTGTCTAGCTTGAGGAAAACCTGCTCTATTTTGTTTTCAAAATACTAGTACAGTGCTTGAGTATTTGACTGATTGCGGTATTTACCAGTGCATGTGTCTGCAACATGTGCATGATATGCCCATTTGACTGGTTTATGTCCAGTTTCAAGTAACATATTTTCTCTTTTGTTGTGTTTCCTGTAGGTGACAATGTGATCTGTGGCAGCTATGATCTCAAATTGTCGTGGTTTGATATGGACCTGTCCACTGAGCCGTACAAGACATTACGGTGAGTACTGCAACTCTCACCCAGTGCCCAACTTGATCTCTTCTCCCGTTGTAAACCATGAGATGCTGTGCAACTTTACCTAGGTAAAAATTGCGAATAAGTATGGATAGATAGCGACAGGTGTAAGCAAGATTGTATATTAGGAATTGTGAAGAATAGGTGTGGTCCCTTGTTGGAGTTCCACAACCGCCTTACTCTTTAAAAGAGAGTGAGGTGATCGCGGATCTCCAACGAGTTATCGCAAGCGATAGGCTAGACCTCATGGCATCATAATAGTCCGAAGCTGGCAGGATGTAAGCTTTGCAAAATAGTGTTCTGCTCAGGTCAGTCAAGACGGGACACTCCATGAAAGGACTTCACGAGGTCAAAGAACACACTAGACCCATGTGGAGCTTTGAAAGCCATATACCACCACTGGAGAATGCCATATGATCATTCTCTTCATGCGAAATAACGCACCATAGTACATCTGAGACCAGCAGGAAGATGACGACACCCGCTGATTCAGCATCTGCCGACCCAAGCATGCTGTATGTGTGGCTTTGTGTGTCAGCTATGCCTGCACCGCTACTGAGTACTTGCGGTTTGCTGGCGTTGCATGTTGTTCGGCATCTTTCTGCAAAGTCTACTTGAACGATGGAGCTTCAGGGTCAGTGGAGGGCACCAAATGATGAAACACAGTACGAGACATTGGGACAGCATTAGTTTGAGGAAGGGTCAATGTCGAAGAGGCATTGATGCACCCACACAGCACTGAAACAGTTTCGTCCATGGCTGCCACTCGTGGGACTTCGGGGTGCATGACTTGGGAGTTCTGGGGTGAGGTGCTGACAAGGTTCCCGTTGCAATTCTGCCTATAATTATTATGTAAAATTACAGAGGCAATATGCTTTGGTTCTGCAAGAGTGCTCAATGCCTGATTCAGGCAGAGCGGCGTACACAAAGGCACACAATGAAAACCTTGGCAAATTTATTCCGTTGTGACTCCGAGTTTCATGGCTGAACCAATCATCAGACAACGATAATGGAATAGGAGGCAGCGCTGGTATATCTAAGTGGAGAGAGGTGTGATAATACGATAGCGAGAGGAGTAATCGCGTGAATGTATACAGGGACGGGCTATTTCAGAGGCGGATGCAGTAGGCGCAGGTCTAGCACTAACAAGTACGCGCTTAATGTCGCTCACACACCACACACACACACACACACACACACACACACACACACACACACACACACACACACACACACATACTAACACGCACACACATAGTAACACCCACACACACATACACACATACACGCACACACTAACACACACATACACTCACCCACAACACCCTAACTTGCACACGGGCGCACGCACACACAGGACACCCACCCACCCACAACACCCTAACTCGCACACGCACACACGCATATACACACACCTATAGACACATGTCCACACGTATACACAGGCATCTGCGTTCGTATGACAAATCTAAGCGCACACAAACTCCTGCAATCACGCGTCAAAAACCCCGCAGCGGTCATAGCTGTCTATGTAATAGGGGTGGCCAGCAGAAACTTGCGCTGGTGAGGGCATTTAGATACCAGCTCACTTCTCTTGTTTAGGGAGGTAGCTTTTGAAGCTTTCAGGATGTGGAACTTTTCGGTTAAGCATAGGCCACACTTCTTGCTGATGTTACTGTACGAAGGTGCTCTATCCTTGATCTCCCATCTGATGTCGAATCCGCGGTTCTCGTTTTTGAGATCCCAGATGTGCTTGGACAACTTAGTCGATGCGGCGTACTTTTCATGGCGGAAGTCCGAAGTGTGTTTGTTGTAGCGCTGCTTGAATGTGGTAGCAGTCATGCCGACGTAGGTCTTGACTTCGTTGGATGCTACATTGGATGCATTGGATGCACTGGCCTCAAGTGGCCACCCGAAAACCATGACATACAAGGATGAACCGAGCAACAAGAAGAAAAAAGCGAAGAAAGGGCGCAGCCGCGACATCATCTGGTTTAACCCGCCGTACAGTACCACGGTCAAAACCAACGTTGGCGCAAAGTTTCTATACCTCGTCAAGAAACACTTCCCTGAAGGGTCGGCGCTACACAAGGTGTTTAACAAGAACACAACAAAAGTAAGCTACAGCTGTATGAAGAACGTAGCGTCGATTATCAAAGGGCACAATGCTGCAAAACTTCACTCGCGACCGCCAGTTGTGCCATGCAATTGTCGGGTCAAGGCGTCGTGCCCCCTCAACGGTGACTGCCAGTCTTCCGACGTCGTGTACGAGGCACATGTAGCATCCAACGAAGTCAAGACCTACGTCGGCATGACTGCTACCACATTCAAGCAGCGCTACAACAAACACACTTCGGACTTCCACCATGAAAAGTACGCCGCATCGACTAAGTTGTCCAAGCACATCTGGGATCTCAAAAACGAGAACCGCGGATTCGACATCAGATGGGAGATCAAGGATAGAGCACCTTCGTACAGTAACATCAGCAAGAAGTGTGGCCTATGCTTAACCGAAAAGTTCCACATCCTGAAAGCTTCAAAAGCTACCTCCCTAAACAAGAGAAGTGAGCTGGTATCTAAATGCCCTCACCAGCGCAAGTTTCTGCTGGCCACCCCTATTACATAGACAGCTATGACCGCTGCGGGGTTTTTGACGCGTGATTGCAGGAGTTTGTGTGCGCTTAGATTTGTCATACGAACGCAGATGCCTGTGTATACGTGTGGACATGTGTCTATAGGTGTGTGTATATGCGTGTGTGCGTGTGTTTGTGCGTGTGCGAGTTAGGGTGTTGTGGGTGGGTGGGTGTCCTGTGTGTGCGTGCGCCCGTGTGCAAGTTAGGGTGTTGTGGGTGAGTGTATGTGTGTGTTAGTGTGTGCGTGTATGTGTGTATGTGTGTGTGGGTGTTACTATGTGTGTGCGTGTTAGTATGTGTGTGTGTGTGTGTGTGTGTGTGTGTGTGTGTGGTGTGTGAGCGACATTAAGCGCGTACTTGTTAGTGCTAGACCTGCGCCTACTGCATCCGCCTCTGAAATAGCCCGTCCCTGTATACATTCACGCGATTACTCCTCTCGCTATCGTATTATCACACCTCTCTCCACTTAGATATACCAGCGCTGCCTCCTATTCCATTATCGTTGTCTGATGATTGGTTCAGCCATGAAACTCGGAGTCACAACGGAATAAATTTGCCAAGGTTTTCATTGTGTGCCTTTGTGTATTATGTAAAATTAGTATAATTTCCACTTCAAAAGAAATTCTTTCTGTCCTCTTGGCACATGCAACACAGGTTGGAAGCTAGTGCAATAAACAAATGGACATCTAGATGACTTACTCTATACTCTCGATGGCCGACTACATAGTCCACAGCATACTCTCCTTTGCTGCCGTCGTGGTGTAACTATAGTTCGACACAAACCTTTTTTTTTGTGACGTACACTGAACAGATGTGATTTTTTTGTGAAAAGTCATGTCGGTGACTGACCAACAGTTTCGTAGTTACGTCATGTCAAATCCTTTCCCATGCTTGCTTTGTCCATGTCTATGATGTGAACTAAATATGGGTATTGTGTGTTATGGATGTGCTTGTAGGCATCATCGACAGGCTATTCGTCAAGTGGCGTTCCACAAGCGATATCCTCTGTTTGCTTCAGCTAGTGATGACGGCTCTGTCATTGTTTGTCATGGCACGGTTTATAGGTAAGACTTTATGATTATACTAGAATCCCTTCTTTTGGCCAGAGCTGTGTTTTCCATAGCAATGTATGGTAGCCTCCTGGCACTGACTCTGCGTTTTCATGTTTGGTGTTTTTTCACAGTGATCTTCTGAAGAACCCGCTCATTGTGCCTGTGAAGGTGCTCAAAGGACATGGCATTGTTGATGGCAGAAGTAAGTGTAGTGTTTTACCATTCCATCCTTCGCACTGTGCCAGAACACTCGCCAACAACCTTTTCGTGTCCTTGTACTTTGAAGTACACATTAAAAAAACGCAGATATGCACGCGCCCGAATGCGAATATTCTTAGCTCTTCATTGACTGCCGATGCACATGCAAGTGAAGACTCAAGAAGATTGACAACACTGACGATGCACATGCAAGTGAAGATTCAAGAAGATTGACAACATGATATCAAAGCTGTTTGTGAAGTTTGAACAAATTATGACAAACGCCGATTACTGTAAAGTGAGAAACTTTTGCTATAAATTAAATTTCACTATTTTCGCCACCATCACACATTCGCGAATATAAATCGCCGCAAACCTCTCCGTACATTGATTGTAGATAGTACAAGATCCGACTGAAGAGAAAGAATCGCAAAAGTTTTCTCATCGTGAACCAGCCCAATTTATGAAAACGCTAAATTTGCGCACCGCGAAAGTTTGTCGCTTTACAGTACATACATGTACTTGTATGGGTAGTCAGGTGCGCGAAATGATGCGTGTACATAACTGCCCCGGATGTGCAATTGCCAATGGGGTTTTGTGTACTGCCAGGCACATTTCATCATGCAAATGACCCGATTCTGGAAATGAGACGTGACAGAGGTTACGTGGAGTCGCACACTCTGGAGAGTTATGACTGTGCTCTTTGTAGCGTGAATGCTATTACAGTCCTACCCTGTTATCCGAATAACTCGAATATCCAGACTCACAAGTCACTGCATAATGTACACCGTACTACATTGTTTGTATGTGTATGTATGTGTATGTATGTGTATGTCTGTGTGTGTATGTGTATGTATGTGTATGTATGGCAGGGATGAATTTATCCTGTATCGCATCGCAGTTTGCGATGCAAAATCGATCTACTGCTACTCAAAAGTCACCGTGACTAGCAGGAAATTGCGATACATACAAGCTGTCCATGCCTAGCCTGCGCTGTTAAGTAACATGCATACAGTGCAGTGTATGTGGTGCAGGTACTCTCAATCTGCGTGCACATGGAGGCTTCAGTCGGTTTTTTTGCAAATGGGCTTTCAGGCATCACTATCAAGAAGGACAATGTGGTAAACACCCAACCTTCAAAGAATAATGCTAATCAAAATCAAACTGACTGCTACACAATTGTGATTTCGTATAGCAGAAACTGCTATGCAAAAATTTGACACTAAATTCATCCCTGTATGGTATGTGTATGTATGTGTATGTATGTATGTGTATGTCTTCTCAATGCGTTTTAGAGTGTCTTGCTTACTACCTCACTTTAAACACAAAAGTAACCTCATTTGGCAACAATTCAAACGCACATTGAAATAAAGACATCACTTGGCCATCACTATGTGCATGTACGGGTGTATTGTATTATTGAAACGGTATTATGCATTATCAGAACACACCATCGAAACCGCTTGCTCAAGGTTGTTCAGATATCCGGGGTGGCATGTTGGTTGTGTGGCAGACATGTGCACACAGATATGGATGACCTGTCACCATCTGCCATCTAACCCAGGGGGCCCTACGTATGTGTAGGCCTCCCTGATCAAGTCCACTGTACCCATATGATACTACTAGTTGCATCATACGCAGACAATGCTGATCATAGTCATAGGGCTGTTCTGAATACAAGACTTGGTGTAGTGATCAGTGTTTGAAGTGCCTGCATCCTTCCCTGGTCCTCTTCTGTCTGTCCATGAATTCAGCAGACATGCACAGAGCAAGACATTATTTTTTATTTTGAATGTGTGTGTGTGTATTTTTGTGTGTGTGTGTGTGTGTGTGTGCGTGTGTGCGTACGTGCAGGTGTGTTTGACTGCCAGTTCCATCCTAGTCAGCCATGGATCCTCTCAGCCGGTGCAGACAACTCAATTCGACTGTTTTCATGAGACTGTCTTCACCTTGGCCTCCCTAAGGCCTCACTATGGTAGCAGTACATTGTGCTACCAAGCTACACAGCGCAGCCAGACATGGACCAAGGCATTTCAGTCATGTTAGTCATGCTAACCGTGTGTGTCCACGACTGATTGTGATATGAGCTACCGTATCTCCACCCGCCAAAGCGCATGTTGTTCGGATTTAAGCATGTGTGCTTTTGAGCGCGGAAGTACGGTGCAAGTGCGCAGTGCTAGTGTATCTTGGAAATGCTTCAAGCATGGCAGACTGAGTGACCTATTGTGTCACTTCAAAGTCTATGGTAATGCCCCATAAACCCTTTTCTGGAATGTTCGTTCTCCGTATAAGCTTTATCTACTTGCTGTGCACATTCTATGCACAGTTTTGCTGATTTTTCTTTCCTGGTCATTTACTGAGCAGTTGCTTTTCAATTATCCTTCTGGAGTCCTGACTATCTATCGTAGTGTAGATGTACATGGTAGACAGCTGCACTCACTCTTCTTTCTAAGACAAGATCTCCAGAAGGCTACTTCAAAAGCTTATAATGGGCTGAATAGCAGCTTTCAGTTCTCATCTCTTGTCCACACTGAGTTGGCATCAGCAAGAGTCCGTAAACACAAGTATACAACTGTGGTCTCTTTTCTATGGGCCGGATGCGCAGCGTTCTGCCTTCATTCCAAAAAAATCATTCAGCTAGTCGGCGCCAGGGAGTCGTCAAATATTTGACGACTCCCTGGTCAGCGCACTGCGGAAAATCAAACACCACACTTGCCCTGTGGGCGTGATGCAGGTAAGTAGTTAGTTACGTAATGAAGGTAGTGCAATGCGCACTGACCCATAATACAGTTGCATACTAGTGTTTATGGTCTATTGCTGTGAGTCTTGCATATTTTACCAATTCGATCAGAAGTATAACCAAGAGTACTATCAGGACCGGAGGCCTTGCATCAGCATGATGCTCCAAAGCAAGTAACGTAAGGTTACCGGTATGTGAGTGATATGCTATGGTGAGGAGTCAGCGGAACTGCTTATGGACGCTATCATAGTATGTATACAGCGCGAGTTGGCTAGTGTGGCGTACTGTGCCGCGACTTTGCCATCTCAAAATAGGGAGGTTTGCTCTACGTTTTGGGAACGCGACGCAAAGAATCACGCGAACTTTCTTCGCGTTCCCGTAACGTAAAGAAATCCTGTTCTGCTCTACGTTTCACCTAGAGAAGTCTCGTGGAATGTGTACTGGGAATTTTCCCTTACATATTTGGCAGTTTTCTGCATGCAGTTGATCTATACCCAGCAAATCCGTACGCATTTTCTCTGCGTGTGCCACAACGCGTTAACGTAGAGAACCCGAGTCATCTCCGCGTAGAAACCTGGAGCCAAAACACGCGAAGCCGTAGACTCTAACCCAGACACCTGCTCTCTACGTGATTTCTCTATGTTTCACGTATAGCAGAACCTCTCTAATGATAGGGGGTATGTACTCTTCACAATGATACATGTATGTAGTACGTCTACAGTACTGTATACATGTAGTAACCAGGGAATCATCAAATACCATATTTGACCTGTAGTACCTAAAAAGCATTTGAGGAAATACACATAATAAGGTAAACTGGTTCAAATATTCATAAGTTGAGGGGTGGAATTACATGTAACAAGAGTGCATAAACGTATGGACTCTTGCATGTAATAATAAAGGTATAATTATTGTGAAAAAAGAGAGAAAGGCAACATCTTCTCCCCATCCTAGATCCTACCAGTTCGTCGGTCGCCAGACACCAAGTCCAAACCGAGCCCCGATTCAATTTCGTACGGGCTGCATCAGGGAGCCCTACACATGTGTAGGGCTCCCTGGGCTGCATGCAATGTTCATCAGCACCACATCACCGAACACAGGCTACTCGACTTTGGCAACATTTTAGCCGGAAAGGACGATTGTGAGCAGATCTACGTGCTCTACTCAGTCCTACTGAGCTTACCGTTTATCTAGTAGTACTAGTAGTAGACCTGGCTACATGCCCATTTTTATTTGCCTCGCTCGCTCACAAAACTAAAAGATTTTTTTTTAATAGTCTTGTGCGCATGCCAGTCTTCCTTGATAATCAACACTGAGGACGAGGCTAACTTATGGGACTCCGTGGCGCAACGGTAGCGCGTCTGACTCCAGATCAGAAGGTTGCGTGTTCGAATCACGTCGGGGTCACCAAAACTTTTTTTCTTGCCATTGGCAGGAGATAGGCGCGGGCGCCATACGTATCACGTACGCCACCAATGCAGTGGAAAAGAAAAGAAGTCAACATGTACACCAGGGAGTCGTATAAACCGGCCTATACAATCATGTACCTAGGGCTAGGCTATTAATATACTACTTACTAGTCCTGTACTGTATGAATCTCCTAGAAATTTTATAATACATGTACGAGGTGATTCGTAATTTTTTAACATTGAGTCATTTCTTAACAAATCGGTAAAATATCTCATTGCAAGCACCTGCAAAAAGTCACTTCAAATTTCTTTTTGCCATTGCCATTGCCAATGTTCTGTCAAGTTCGCCTCCAAAATTGAGACTGATATTCCTTCAGGAAGTGACATTGCAAGAGCTTTCAGTCTGCATGTGCGCGATGTTTACGGTAAAATAGAGTATAAGACAGTCATAGCCGCTGGTTTCAACCTCGAGTGACAACATATTTAGCTGAATAGGAAGCATTATGATAGTTACATACTGGAAACGACGCCTGGGAAGGAGGAATGTCGGTGTGTTGGCCCTAGTAATGGCCAAACATTGGCAATCACTGAATTTGCTAACAGATGTTGATCACAATTACACATGAAATCAGGGTGATACACCTGTTGCTATGTAAGCTTGAATGGCTTGTATTTGGATGAACATGATCTTGATCCAGTCTTGCTGGACCATCTTGGAGACGTGGGGACTCCTTCTATTGAAAACTGACTTGAAATTGTGCTGCTAAGGCCTATTTTACCATGATGTTAAGAAATGACCACAACAAATAATATGCGGAAAAATTGCCATTTTTCAACTGCCACCTGCTTCCCAACACCAAGGATTATGTGAATGAGAAACCCAACATTGCAATCCAAGGACATCAGTATTACATTTTTAGAGGAAGAAATGGAAAGATTCACACCTCGAACCCTACGGAAGGCTATTTTACTTTCGTGTTAAATAATGACGAATCACCTCGTACGAATGAAGAAAAGTGGACAATAAAATCCAGATCGCTACACGACTCGTAGCTCGTACGAGTCGTAGAGTCGGACTCGTAGTCGTGCAATGATTACCGGGTATGTAGATCTATAATCAAGCAGCTAGTCTTGCACAGACTGACTATGATAGCAGTCCGGGGCAGCAGTAGTAGTATTACCAAGCCTGAGTAGATACTAAACACTCTTGGTATTACAATACAGATGACTAGCCATTCTACTACTAAGTACTAGTGCTGCCCTGGCCTGGACAACGACGTAACGTCGTTACATAGCCTCGTAGTCGTAGGCACAATAGCCGCACATGCAGCGAAATCACTGGTGGAAACAACAAAAATCACTGGTGGAAATGCCGGGTAGGCTGGGCCAGGCCAGGGCAACACACATCACATGCACACCTTTTGCAGACACCAACACAAACAGTCATGGCGACACGATCATTCTAAAGTAACTTCTACCCACAGACACTGTGACGCAGTCACCAGTGCCCGCGCGGTACAGGACCGGTAGACATCTACCCATACTCACTGTAAGTGTGTGATCTGCACTACAGCTAGCAGTAGCACAGCAGTAGTCTCTCTCGTCTCGTACAGTCGTAGGTCTACTGTAGATCTACCAGGTTTACTCACCGAGTGAAATAAAACAAGAAAGCCACCATGGACTGCTGACCGAGTCTGTGACATACTGTAGCTTGTCCGGCAAAGAATGCCACATGCAGGTTCTCTGCAGATAATAATCATGATAATTATGCGCATAGCGAGGGCGCGCGCGCACCAAGCTCTCATTTGTAACTCTGTCTCCATCGCGTGATCGATCAGGTGATCGTGTACTCAGTCGAATCTGCGTGCACGTGTACTACAATAATAATTGCAGTACAAAGCACTTCGAGCTTCACTTACAAAAGATCACACCTCCACTCCTCACGATCTTCATGATGGCGCTACTGAGTACTGGCACTGCACTGTACTACCTGTAGACGTGTAGTGCCAGTTTGTAGTGCTACATTTTGTACTGGCCACTACCGCCTGGTACATGGTACCAGTGGCAGCGTAGCGATCTACTGCGCACCAGCTCCGGAGCTCCGTCATCAAGCTACATACGCAGCCACTGCCAAAAACTTGAAGAAGCAGTACCGCGACCCGCTGCAACGGACAGGTTACCACCACGGCGAGCAGGGTGTCACTGCCACATAACACCCAACAGAGAAATAATGCTGTTTCACCTGCGCATGGGCCCTCACCCGGTTCACAGCAGCTTGTAGTACTAGTAGTAGCAACAGCAGAATGCAACAGTCGACAGCAGCTCCTGACGTTGCCAAACTGCAGGCTGCTGGCTGCGGCCAAGAGCCGAAGCACGTGCCGCTGGTCGTAAGCCATGTGGCGACATCGTCCCCTCCGCCTCCCGTCCTGGCTTCCTGGGACGCTGCAGCTCCGGGAGCTTCAGCCACAACACCGGCGACAACAGAAGTTGCAGTATCAGAAAAAGTAGCAGCAACGATTGTCCCGGACGAATGCGTCACCCCCGCAGCGGCAGATGGCTGCAATGAAAAGCCAGGATGGAGTTGGGAAGAAAGAGCCGCACAACTAGCTGTAGTTGATAGCAGTGGCGAGATACACACTGGTAAGCCACCACCAACACCACTATCCGACCAGTTGAGCGATCACTCTCCTGAGGTGGAGTCTTGTCTATTGCTTGCTGAGGTAGCTAAACGCATTCGTACTGGTCGCGCGGTGCAAGTGACTGAGTCCAAGCGACACGATCTGTTGCCCGGTCACAACAGCAGGTCAATTTCATGCCAAGTCCCAAATCGGCCGCCGGATTCCTTCAGCCCCTACGGAGAGGCAGCAGCCGTGGGCACAGCAGCACAATTTGGCCGGCACGCGGAGGCCGCGGAGCACTGTGAGCTAGGCAGTCTTCCCACACGGCCTGTACGAATCCGAAAGGCTCCCAGAACCTACATCTCTGAAATGGAGAAAATGGACGACGGTCCTGGAGCAAGCAAGCGCAGGAAGCGGGCCATAGCTGAGTCAGATGCTGGTGGTGGCGGAACAGTGATGAATGTGGAGCAGCCATGTTCACATGCTCAAGTGCTTCTTGACTCAAGCTACCAAAAGAATGCAGACAATGGAGCACCCTCTGTGAGTGCTGGGGCCGGCCACACCAGCCATAGCAGCCCCAGCAGCAGCACCACCACCAGCACCAGCACCACTGCCAGCCCAGTGGGCTGTAAAGGTAAAGCTGCTACTGACAGACGTAGGTCACAGGCCAGTGGCTTGTCACATGCTGCAGAGACCCAGGCCCAGGCTATCTACAGCAGCAACGGAGTCTCCCAGGCCGAGCTGGCCAACTCAGCTGGATGGGGCGGCAATAGCAGCAGCAATGTAGATAGTGATTTGCAGGCTCTTCATGGTCGCCTAACACGTAGCAGGTTATCAAAGACTAGAGTTGACTGTGAGGCTACAGCTAGCAACGACAGTGCAAATCATGGCAAACCCGGGGCCGATTCATCTGATGATGAGGACCATGGCAGCAGCAGCACTGACAGGAATGCCCAGACCGGCGGCACACCGAAGAAGAGCACAGCCAACCCCACCGGCAGTGAACGGCCACGTCCACACAAGCGCAAATGGCGAAACCAGTATGGCAGCAGTGAGGATGCTACTAGTGACATTGGCCAAGCTCGCTCAGCTTCATCTACGCCTGCATTATCTACCATGGACGTGACACCTGTCGCCGCCAATGAAAGACCAGATATTGATCTTGGGATTGGTGATTTTGTGTGGGGAAAGATGCGAGGGTTCGACTGGTGGCCAGGTTCCATTGTGAGTGCAGGACGAGCCAACCAAGTATCAACTACCCCAGGTCACACTTGGGTGTGTTGGTTTGGTGACAACCAGTTCTCTCAGATACTCCTGACACGCATTCGACCACTTACAGACTTCCGTCAATATTTGCTCCGCCGCAAACCCAAGTCTCTTTACCGACGTGCTATCATTGAATGCGCTGATTCTGCTGCCCTGCGTGCCAACAAGCAGTTCCCATCTGAATGGCCAGGTACTGCAACAGTGTCCACCGAGGATCAATCTGTGCTGGACAATTTCTGTGATACCCCGCGCCAGCGCCATGTCCTCCACTGGGCTCTGGGAGAATTTGTGCCTGAGGGTCTGGATGGCCTCCGTCCATCCGAGCTGGACATCAACAATGCTAAAAGATCTGCTTCGGGTCAGACGTTGCCTAGCTCCCCAGATGGACCTCTGTCTCCACCATACTCTACATCGCCTATTGGAAGCAGCCCTCTTCCATCGACGCCGCGCTCATCCACTGCAGCCTCACGCAGCTTATCCAACAGCGTCATGGTAACACCACGGCAGCCACAGCAGATGGTACAGAGCGACACTCGAGGGAGTTCGGGGCAACAACTGGAGAGATTTGCTCTGCTGCGACAGGGAAAGGTCTCCCTGAGCAACTGCTGCCTGTGCTGCGGTGCCTCTGGCGAGTGTGTCCAGCAAGAGCATCCACTATTTGCTGGCGGTATCTGTGATGCGTGTGTCCCAGCTTTCATTGAGTGTGCGTACTGCTTCGACGAGGATGGTTCGCAGACGTACTGCTGCATCTGCGCCGATGGCAAGGAGGTGTATCTGTGTGATTCTCCAGGCTGTGCCCGCAGCTACTGCCCGTTGTGCATTGAGAAGCTGTGTGGTGCCGACATCCATCGACACATCAACAAGCTGGACAGCTGGATGTGTTTCATGTGTGACGACCAACCCAGTGATCAGTTGGAAGTGCGCGATGACTGGCACGCTAGACTGCTCACTCTCATGTCGTCAGAAGACAGTGGTCTCTACCAGCTGGAGCCAACACCGCCACCCCCCGCACCTGAAGATCGACAAGCTATCCGTGTCCTTGGCTTGTTCGATGGTATTGCCACTGGCATGATTGTGCTTAATGAGCTTGGAATAGAAGTCGCCGCATACACCAGCTCGGAGATTGATGCCGATGCGGTGCGGGTATCACGTCGACACCACACTAACATCGTACACGTCGGAGCTGTTGAAGAAATCACTAGTCAACGTCTCAAGGAGTGGGGACCATTTGACCTTGTCATTGGTGGCAGCCCTTGCAACGATCTCTCCATGGCCAATCCTGCGAGACGCGGCATATTTGAGGGCACTGGCCGACTCTTCTTTGATTTCTTCCGCCTGCTACAACTGGCCAAGCCTGCGCCTTCTGAACAGCGTCCGTTCTTTTGGCTCTTTGAGAACGTCGTCTCCATGCGCGCAGTTGACAAGGCTACTATCTCTCGCTTCCTGGAGTGCAACCCGTCGGTTGTTGATGCCAAGGATGTGTCCCCTGCTCATCGACCACGCTACTTCTGGGGCAATCTACCCGGCATGATGCGTGGCATCGTGCCCTGGCCTGGCGATGTTCTCAGTCTGCAGGACTGTGTTGAACCGAATTGTGGACGGCGTGCCAAGTTCGAGAAGCTGCGCACTATCACAACCAAGACCAACTCCATCCGGCAGACAAAGCAGAACCTGTTCCCGGTGAGCGTGGAGCGGCGCGGCATCAATGGCAGCCTGGAGGGTGAGGATGGCGACATGCTGTGGTGCACAGAGATGGAACGGATCTTCGGATTCCCAGCCCACTACACAGATGTTGGCAACATGGGCAGAGTGGCACGCCAGCGACTACTGGGTCGAGCCTGGAGCACCCCAGTCATTCGCCATCTCCTAGCACCCCTACGTGACTACTTCAAGACCACTGGCAAACAATTGCCAGTCCAACAGAAGTAACCGGTTCTGGACCGTGACTCAAGTCTTGAGTTCCTAAACCATGTCTGGTAAGTGAGACTTGATTCTTCTAATGTGTGTCCTTCATTTATCCTATCGACTGTTGGGTGTATTTATATACTAAACAAATTTCATTTGCGAGAACCTTCACAGGGTGAACCATAGCTTTGTCAAATTTTGTGAGTACCTAGTTCATTTCGTTTCCTTTTCGTGAGGCCAATAAAATAGGTTTCCTAACAGAAATTTTCTAACGGACTACTACGAAACCGGCAGTGTACACTCACTCACTAACATTATGCTAAAAATATTCCATGGTATGTCAGTGTGCGTGTGCGTGCACACATATGTGTGTGGGTGTGTGTTTGCACGCACATATGTATGTGTGTGCACGCATGTGTGTGTGTGCGCATGCACGCATATGTGTGTCTGCGCATGCACGCATATGTGTGTGTGGGTGCACTTGTGTGCGTGTGTGTGTGTGCGTGTGTGTACACGCACACGTGAGTGTACACATGTGTGTGCATGCACGTGTGTGTGTGTGTGTGTGTGTGTGTGTGTGTGTGTGTGTGTGTGACACGTGTGACGCTTTGTGTGCAGTGTGTGTTTTGTTGTGTTCGCGTAGAGATTCCAACCATTTATTCTCTCTTCAATTTTCAAGGTCGTTTGTTTCTCTTTGCCAGTCCCACAGTTCATATCAACCTGGTTTGACTCCTATCTATTCTCATCTAGTTCTTCTTTAGTTCACCTGAGTTTCCTCAATCAATGACCCCTCTCAGCTGTGCGCTCTGTCAAGCTCCCATGCCCGTTAGTCTCAATCATTTTCGGACCAATGCAGGACCCGGACCAATGTAGAATCATACATTGAGCAAGCCCGGTCGTGGCACTGGTCACAGTGACTCTCTAGCATACCTTTGCCACTTTGATGTTTCTGAATTCAACCTGATCTGACTCATTCATCTATTTCTCCCTTTGTTCTGAAGACTGAAAGAAAGCAGTATTCCGATCCTGGCAGCTTTTTTTGTTGTTGTATTCTGCGGTAGTGGGTACTCCTCAAGAAATACGCCTACACCTGGTGTGTTCAAGTCTTCATGATCTTCCTGCCTATCCTGGTGCAAGTCACAATGTACTTCAATCCTGGTGAATGTGCACTATATCACCAGATGCAGGCTGATGATGCAAGTTAGGCCCAGACAGATCCTGCCGGCAATTCTTTCGGCAAAATATCGAAGAATTGAAAGAGCGGAAATTGCCGGCAAAATCGGAGCAAAATATCGCGAGATGTTGGGTAAAATCGATGCCTGATACTTAGATTTCCTTGCTTTTTACCCGTTCAGCAGGATACACTGCCCAGGACGAGATCATGTCACCGAAATATCTCTGGGATTCACTGTGGATCGACTTGATTTTGGAAGAATTCAGGGACACGTGCGTTGAAACCCGTGTTGAGAAACTGACCGTGCGATTTTTATGAAACGTTGTACGGGATTGTACGGGAAGTGGATATAAAACACGTTTTCCCGGAGCAAAATGCAGCAAAATTCTTGTTCCAGGCTCGGCAAAATATCGAAGATTTCGCAGCAACATTTTGCCGAAAAATATTGAGGCGACCGGAGCAGAATCTGTCTGGGCCTAGTGCAAGTCCATGATTGCATGTATGTAGTGTGACCCTGTCACGTGGTATATTCACTGTTATCAGCAAACCGCCAGGAGTCACAGGATCTAGGACTAGGAGCCTTTGGTGGCATTTTTTAAATTCCTGAGGGATTCTGCATTCCATAGCTTAGCAGTAACAACTGTCATGACTGCCAGGCGCCGGCAACAGACAGTTAGTCTATTCAATTATCTCTTGAAACTCGGAATCGCAACACAGCTTCATGGTCGCTCTCCATTGGCATTGTGTAGTCAACTATTATTAAAAGTAATTAGTTGAACTATCATGATCTCGTCTGTTTGATAGTAGTGAGAGTGTACGTACTTAGTCTGTACATATGTACATGGACAAGGGGAGCAGCCCCAGGACACTAGCTCGTGGGGTACCTCACTCGCTAGAAAAATCAGTGGGCTTTCACGGTATTACTTCAGTACATGTACATGTAAGTCTAACTTTGATGCAAACTCGGAGGAGTGGAGTGCTCGGCAAAGACAAAGCCCAAGACAGTGAGGTGATCATCAGATCACGGTATCCTTTGGACATGTACAATGTACCAATCCATGATGTACATTGTACTGGGGTTGGTAATGGTAGCAGGGAGTGAGGGAGTCGTATAAACGTTTATACGACTCCCTGGTTGTTAGCTGCTAGTGAACCATGCAGGACTCTCGATCTCCGCTGTTGGATGCAACTGCATAACTGTATAATATTATCTTTACCACAGACAATAGTGTGGAGGTAGTCTAGAGATGCACAGCGAGGCCTGTAAGCATGATAACTTACTGAGAGTGTCCTCGGTGGGATCGGTGGGGTGATAGCACAGAATATAGTGGAACTCCCAGGAATACAATCATACGCACTGCACCCGATCAGTGCCGACTCCACCTTCGACTGCATGAGATGATCGAGAAGGGAAGCAAAGAATTGTGGCTGGTTACTCCGAGTTTCACGCGTTTATAAGCGTAGGGCTCATCAGACTCTGACTGCACTGACTACAACGTCCTCAAGTAAAGAGATGTGATCAGGCCGATCAAGAGTATTATACCTTCGCGGGAGGTTATTACTAGTTGTACTCTTGGTAGATCTACGATGTTATTTTATGGATAGGCTGAATCCATGGAGGAAGCGTGGGTAGACTGTACATGTATTGTACCCTGTAGCGTACCTGGAAGGCTACGTTTCATTGTAATTGTGGTGATAGGAGCATTTGATCATACATTGTGCCGTAAGGCATAACCTTGTTGTGTGCTACTCATGCTATAATATCACCACAAACCTCAGTGACAAAATGTACCTAGTATAAATAGTACAGTACCTCTGCTTTTGATCAAGCTACATTCTTTTCATACCGGTAACAACACCATGCATGATCACCAGCGCTGCAGCAGGGAATGGCAGCCTTGGCAGGGATCCGGGAGTACGAGAGTACAGCTGTAGATGACTCCCTTTTTCGGGAACAAGTATCCAAATACGACGGAGGGGAGTTCCCGTATGGCAAATTTGGCGCGGAATTTCGCTCAAAGGTGATTCCGGTGCAGCTCCAGATCTGTGGTTGGTAAAAACTCCGAAACAGTTCCCTACAAACGATTTTTCTTTTTTTTGCATTTCCATACCGCGTACCGAGAAAGTCCGACTCGGTGGATTTGTTGCTTTTCAAGACTCTTTGATCATCACGTTTCATGGACAGGGAAAGCTCTGCTGGTGAAAGCTATTACTAGTATAATCAATATTTGTAGAGTTTCGAAGTTGGAAAAGAAGTTGGGAGAGAAATCGGTTCGTGGAGTCTCTGGCCGTGTGATGGTGGAAGACCTGTCAATCCAGCAGCGCTGCTTGGGTCAATTCCCCTGAAGTTTAGGTGGTGACACCTCTTGACGGCATGAATGTCTCCATCGTGTCGTCTCTGTGTCATGGTCAGCAATTGCCGAGAAGATGATGTCCAAATCTGCAGCTCATCGCACTAAATCTAGATCTCACTCCTTGCAATTCAAGTCGTCCACGGTGGATCTTGAACAGCAGCAGGACAATGATGAGGATGATGATCTTCCTTCCGTGGCTGTGTCCCAGAGCGACTCAGATATTATGGACTCAACAGGCAGGGCCAGTGACGGTGCGAATGAATCTGGGAATGAATCTTTGGTGGCTGGGGCCCCTCTGACTATGGTAGGTGGTGGTTTTGTCCGCAAATGACCTTTATGTCCATTTGCGCACAATCATGCATAGCAATCTCTTTTCGAAAATCATGATTTCCACTTTCAACATTCTCAACGTAGTGGGGTATGTGTCAGTTTCAATTTTGTATTGTCTAGTGTGACAGTGTAGTGAAGTCAGAATGTAGTTAGCTGCTACCAATCATTAAGTCGTACATGTGCATTCTTGATTTGTACCTGCACAAACAAAAGAACTAGTTACTTCAGCAAATCAGTTGTGGATAGATTGGGAAGTCGGTTTTACTTTTGAGGATGCAATTCAACCACAAATGCAAAGCAGCTGTTCCTATATTTATTGATTCCACACCCCATGGCATGCTATTGTCCATCAAAAGGGAGGCCATGGAAACCAACCACGGCTGAAAAGCGCAAACTGTCAAAAAAAGTAGAAGTGGAGATTTTACATGTACATGTATTATAGAACAGGAGCAACTCGTACAGTACTGAAGAAAATTCGCAGTTACTCATACAATACTGAAGACAATTTGCAGTTACTCGAGATTGTCAGAATGAACTTTCTGCATTTGTAAGAACACCATCAAGTTTGAAAGCGCAGGTTCAGTAGATCAGACCTGCTGGAAGCGGAACTTTATTTTTATTTTTTCGGCACTACGCGCACTAAGGGGCCGTCCAAGGTTACCAATCATATTTTCAAAACGAAATGTTTTTGTTTGTGGGTGGGTGGGTTTGATGGAGTTTCGTTTTGAAAATAATTATTGAATGCTGATGGAGAATGCCCAGTTACTTCTGGGTGTCGAAAATTGACATCAATATTTTATTGGAAATTCGTTTTACCTGCAGAAAAGGTGGGTGGGTGGGGGCTGAAAAATACTGAAACATTTCGTTTTGTAAAAACAATCGGTAACCCCGGACCCCTAACCCCTAAGGGACCGTCCGTGAAAATCGAACTTTTTTCACCAAACGAATTGTTTTAGTGTGACCAAACCCATTCCTCCCTCCTCCTCGGAATGTAAAAAATGTTGACATAATACATGCAAAAGTCGCAAGGGTGTCCCTGCTCCAATGGCCATGTACATGTATCAATGTTTTCTGAAACGAAATTGGTCAACCCCCTCCCCCACCTAGCCCTTTCCCAAAGGTGCTCTTTTAATTCGCACTTAGTGCTTTTCGCGTCCCTTAAATTATGCTGAAAAAGTGCTCTTTTTTCAGTGAAAACAGGCAAAAGTGCTCTTTTTTCAGTGAAAACATGCAAAAGTGCTCTTTTTTCAGTGAAGCATAGCCATGATACATGTTCAGATATGAACCCAAGTTGAGAAATGAATACGCAGTCTTCCATTTATGGGTCCACGAAAGGCAAAACAGGAAGTTAGTTCAAAAAACCCACTTTTTACAGCATTGTGTACAAGCTTCACCACCTAACACTTGTTGCCCCCCAAAAAAGCGACGTGCCAAGGCCCATCGAGCACTCGGAAACTGTGATCGCATGCATGAGCAAACAGATTTTAGCACTTTTTCAGCTAAAAAAGCTCAAAAAGGGCGATAATCACCAAAAAAACGCAATAAAGGGCGAAAGAAACGGGCTTTTCCAAAAAGGGCCAAAAAGGGCGAGCACCTTTGGGAAAGGGCTACCCCCACCCCATAACGAAATTATTTTGTTTTGTGAAAAAAACTTCGATATTATGGACGACCCCTAACTTGATGGCGAAAGGGAAAGTTGCATTTCCAAACATAAAGAAAGAGTCGTCAATGAAGCAGCATGGATGTCGGAACCAGGGAGTTGTATAGACCCGGGAGAGGACATGGCACTGATTCCTATGGACACGGTGTGACTCAAGTCGACACAAGTGGTTTTTTACGCCAAATACTCTCAGGGTACCAGAGCTCAATTGGGCCAGGCTCTCTTTGTTTCTTTTTGTTGCTTCGCTGTCACTGCAGGCTTCTTTCTTTTTCCTTTATCGGCTTTTGGGTATTCGTCGCCGTATATCGACGGTGGACGAGAGTAATATCTTTAGAACTCTTGTTCATTTTTTGTGACAGCATCTCCGAAAACGTAAAAAGACGTTATCTATCTGAACATTCTGAGGCTCCCGCGATTTCAACCCAGGGGCTTCCCCGGCGGTCGTGAGACACACATCGCCCGGGTTTTTTTTGTGCGCCGTGTCCACTCCCGGGTCTATACAACTCCCTGGGTAGAACCAAAGAGTGGCGATTCCAGTCGCGTTGTTGTAAACGGAATGTACTGCTGTCATGACTCGTGCGTAATGTACCACCAGTATACCATAGTTGTGGTGTTCTGGGCACCAAGTCGAGTGAGTTTGTTCAGAAGTAGCTGTATAGAATCTTTTACTTCACGTCCAATCCGCAACACGAGAACAGTCCTTGGCTACACCACGTACAGCGATTTTTTTCCCAATCTGTGAGATAGACTGCATGCCGTTTAGTCACTTTGTTATAACGTCGCCTGCTTGGTCACTGCCTTCTACATGGATTAGCAAATGATGTGGAACCCTTGATCTCGTGCGCTATTACATGACATAATGATTTTATAAGGATGTGAGTTCTAGATCATGAATGTATTAGAGCCTCCTCATTGGTGCAGATCAGGGAGTGTGTCTGTTAGATGCAGGTTGCAAAGCACTTCCATAGCACTGGCCAAACCTACTCAGTGCAGCTGCTATTTCCCGCTCCGAAGCTACCCCTGCAAAGCAGCAAGCTAGACGAGACACAGATAACATATTCATTACATTTTCTTCTTCAAAGAATGCTTGGTAACGACGAGCACTTTTGGGCAGTGCATGTTGCCAGGAACCCAAGACTTCTCCTGCCTCCTCTCCGGCAAGTCACCAGTACTGTCCGTAGCCTGTAGTTATGTCAGACTGTCCAACCGTCCAGACCTCGTCTGGACAGTCCAGATTTGAGAGAAATTGTCTTGCGTTCTGCCGAGGTCCTCATCCGGACGCCTTTTGTCCAGATTTCATGAAAAATCAACACGTTTGTCCCACTTTTCACATCTTGACTCGACCTCCGACAACAGATCACGATTGATCACACGGAAAAGATGGCTGATGCGCGCACTCTTCGGACACTGAGCTCGCGAGCTCATGTTCATGCGACTTGCCACCCAGTAGGCAGTAGTAGACTGGACCCGAAAGCACATTTTGTTCGCGGCCGTGGCAGCTTTATGTAGCCATTGGCGGACTATGCTCGGCCAATCGTCAAATTATGCTTTTGATTATGCCACAATTATGACAACAAATATGCTGAATTATGCTCGGTTCCACTATGTATTCACGCTGTACATAGAGGATTGAGAAACCACGCATACACACACGGCCATGCCCTAAGCATAATTTTTGTCTAAACCGAAAGATTATGCCGACCTTACACGTTGGAATCCGTATATTATGCCGGAGCATAATGTTTTGACGAAATCCCAAGATTATGCCAAATATTATGCCGGCATAATCCGCCAAGGGCTATGACAAGGAGTCGTAACTGGGGTATTTAAAAACAAAAACATCTGCAGGCTTTCTGACAAAGCTGTATTATGCCCTAAGCATAGTTTTTTGTCTAAACCGAAAGATTATGCCGACCTTTCACGTTGGAATCCGTATATTATGCCGGAGCATAATTTTTTGACGACATCCCAAGATTATGCCAAATATTATGCCGGCATAATCCGCCAACGGTTAGCTTTATGCCCACCTGTATCACGTCGGGTGCATTCAGATCTTTTCAGTTATAGAAAGAAGAGAAAATTTAGACTGGCTAGAGAGGGTGTCCAGATTTGGGGTGGCCAGGAGGTTGGACAGTCTGTTATGTGTACCAACAAACAACACTGACTACAGTGTAGCAGCTATCGACGTATCGCCGATCGGACGTGCCCAGCTGCCCGCGTATTCCAGGTATTCGCTGTTGTCAGAACAGGTGTTCAGTGTGAGTTGTTTGTTGTAGTCAATGTAGATCTACATGACATGAAATGATTATGTAGACAAACAACTCTCAACATTGTAGTGTTGCATGTGACCCTGCATCTTCGCCTTTCGCGCCACTGTGTGAGATTTTTCACTTTCGAAGTCTTTGTCCGTGTGCGTGTGCATGTTTCGTCCGTCGCCTGCGCTCTACACCATCGCACTCCCAGCTAACAACGTTCGTTACGTTGAGAACATCGATGTCCTGAAGTTGAACTGCCTGAGGAGTAAAATGTAGCAATGACGATGGCTGTGTGTGCCTATAACATGGCTCAGGTTTTCTTGTACCACTCTCCTTGCTGCTCAGATCGAGAGTCGACTAGTCAGGGCTGTCAGAGTAAAATTTTGAAATTGAACTATGATGCGTCTCAACACAGTCTCTACTGTTCTGCCTCTGTTCTTCGCAAGGACAACGACGAGAAGACGTTCTATGCGCTGAAGTGTCACGAAACATGCTGCTCACGCAGCGCTAGTGCAGCTGGTCGAGTCGATGTGACTGCATTTTCCCCTAAACTGTCCCGATAATACTGGTGTGTGCTTTCGTTTTCAATGTCACCCTCTACCTAGCTCTGTGTCAAATGCGCTTAGTGACCGTCCTTTATTTCTCTACTGTGTCCTTTTTTGGTTCAGAGCAATGGCGAAATTAGTGCGGCGAAAAAGAAAGGGAAGGGAAGATCGCGGTCAGCTTCGATATGGAACTATCGCAATAACGGACAACATGGCAGTCTTTCGAAGGATAGACAATCGCTGATGGCTGAACAACGAGCAGCAGCTGAAGACCGTTTACAGAAGTCGATCAACAAGATTATGGCACTGGAGGAGCATGAAATCGAGTCCGAAGCCGAGAAGACTTACGTAAGTGTTGTATTCTGCTTTGCTTCGACGTTGAGATTTCAGCGACTTGTCTTGTAGCCTAGGGCTGGTAGCATACGTTTAGCGCTGTTTGCTTGTGCACAGTCGGGCAAGCGACTGTCTTGCGAACGTTTCAAGTAGTGTTTTGATGAAAACCATTATTTTGATATCGGTTCGAATGGCTTACTGTACTCGCACTATTCAAGAGAGGGCTTTATTTTTTTACTGACCCTTGGAGACTGGGGCACTATTCGAGATAGGGCGCTATCCAAGAGAGGGCTCTAGTCGCGCGAGTACGGTATCTCTCGCCTGCATACGATCAGCCAAACTTGCTAAATCGCCAAATGTATGCCCACGTTGCTATAGCGACCTGCACAGTGATGGCACACATGGCACACGTTCTGCTTAGCTTAGGGAGGGCCCGAATATGCTTGCGCATATTTTCGCATATTTGGTCCTTTTAAAGGGGAAGTATACCCTAAAATCAAATTTTCACCAGTTGTAGTCTTCGGGGTGCTGAGTCGAATGGTCTTGTTCCGAGGAAGCTGAGACGCTCCCTTCCTCCTTTATTCCCAATCGAACTCGCGCACTTCCACCGAAACTGGGTGACTGCGCCCTACTAGATGGGGATTTGTATGCAAAATGTCACTAAAAGCGCCATTTCGTTCTTATAAAAGCACGGATGACCGCCATTGGCCCATATGTTGTGGTCTTTTGGACGCTGAGTCGACTGGTTTTGGTCCGAAAAGGCTGCGATGCAGCGTTCCTCCTTTATTCCCAATCGAACATGGTTGAACAAGCGGTCACGTGCTCCTGCGTACACCAGTCACCTGGTCACCGTGCCTGCAGGGTACAACTTACTAGCCTGTTTGACCTTTTTTGGGTGCACTCCTGTCACTCGAGTTGAACCTTGGTGTGAAAGTTGTCGCCTGCTGGCGCGGTGACCAGGTGATTTGGGCACCCAGGAGCACGTGACCGCTTGTTCAACCATGTTCGATTGGGAATAAAGGAGGAACACTGCATCGCAGCCTTTTCGGACCAAAACCAGTCGACTCAGCGTCCAAAAGACCACAACATATGGGCCAATCGCGGTCATCCATGCTTTTATAAGAACGGAATGGCGCTTTTAGTGACATTTTGCATACAAATCCCCATCTAGTAGGGCGCAGTCACCCAGTTTCGGTGGAAGTGCGCGAGTTCGATTGGGATTCAAGTAGAAGGGAGCGTCGCAGCTTCCTCGGACCAAGACCATTCGACTCAGCACCCAGAAGACTACAACTGGTGAAAATTTGATTTTAGGGTATACTTCCCCTTTAACAGAAGGTCGCATAAAGTAGCAAATCTAGCATATTGTACCAAATGTAGCATATTTTGCTACAAGGAGCAAAGAAAACGCATAATATTATAGGGCAGATTGCGGAAATGGACAATGAAACTCACCACGGCACGCTCGGTCAGGGAACACTTCCAAACTTAGCCCGGAAGGAAAAATGCTCATTCAAATACGGGGCGAAATTTTGACCCGAGCTAGAGGAGAGTGTCCGCGACTCAAGGTCGCATAAAGTACCAAATCTAGCATATTGTACTAGCATATTTTGCTACAAGTAGCGAAGAATTCGCATAATTATCACTGATATCAGTTCATAATTTCGAGCATATTTCGAGCATATTTTTCTGCTTTTGTGTGATTTCGAAGCATATTTCGAAGCAAGTGGTCAATATGCGAAAAGCATAATATGCGACATTTTTGAGCATATTTGGGCCCTCCCTGGCTTAGCTCCGTGAGAGAGAAGGTCGATCACTGCAGAATTTGCCCATTTTCAATTGGTTTATTGTATTCACGAAGTGAAAGAAGGGCTGTGTTCAATGCTGTTAGTGCCGTGAACTGTTTATCGGCCTTCTCCTGCATTTCCCTAGGCTGACTGTAGCTTAAGAAATGGTTCCTCTACAAATTGTAGGGGAAGATGCTTAGTATTCGCCATCTCTCCTGAGAAATTTTCAGCAAACTTTCAAAAAAGTACAACATTTCGTTCGCCAATCTCCACCAACCGTCGTCTCACCTGGCTTCAGAAGATGTTACGAGAGATAGGAGAGTTGCCAGGAAGTGGAAAGAGCAAACGGCATGGTCTTTGGTTGGGGTAAATGCGAACATCTGATTTGTCCCAACCAAGACTTCAGCACTTTGTTCGTCACTATTTTCGCTTGTCTGCTGATGTCTCCGCACTCCAGCTTTCTCCTGTCGGTGTCATGTCCCAGTACACGACCTAGAGGACTACTAATAAACAGTTCACGGCACTAACAGCATTGAACACAGCCCTTCTTTCACTTCGTGAATACAATAAACCAATTGAAAATGACCAAATTCTACAGTATCGACCTTCTCTCTCACGGAGCTAAGCAGAACGTGCGTCAACACTGCGCAGGTCGCTATGGCAACGTGAGCATACAATTGGCGATTTGGCAAGTTTGGCTTATCGTATGGAAGCTAGAGATATGCCGTTCGAACCGATATCAAATTGTCTTTCTTCTGGACCCTACTTGAAAAATCGATGCACTTCCCCATAAAGTTATCGATGCACATGTAGTACTAGCGGAGAAACCCACACTATAATATATCCAATAACAGATGCTTGTCGCGACGTCGAGTAGCGCAAACAATCCACTGGACTCAGAACATTACACGATTTACAACCGCTTTCCGTGCAGAGCTAACGCAGCAATATGCATAGCGACAATCACATTGACCAAATACTTCCCTGCACTTGCTGCTCTTGCTGCCCCTTTGTAGATTTACACACTCTTGCAGTCTGATGACCTGATACACCGAAACATCGTTCTTAAAAGTGAAAGGCATGCGAGTTGTGACTGTGATGCCGTGCTAGGGAAAGCAACATGCCTGCAGCTTGCCTACATATCCCCCTCCTAGTAAAACGCTTGGGAGCGCTTGGGTTTCAATGAAGCCGATGCCCTATGGTCGGTCAAGCTGCCCCTGCCTGTCCCCCACTCCTGCCATTCCACGTGTCTCATCGCTGCCTTGCTGCTTTGTGCCGTCAAATGGTGTGTGGTTTTTCTGTAAAAACAAAACAAACAAAAAAAACAGGGTATCGGAACCGGTGCGGCAGGTGTGGCCAAACCCGCACCAATAATTTCATCTTGTGATTTTTGAACCAAAAATATGGGCTACTTGGTTCCAATTTTCCAATCTCGGTGGAGGGCCATGGCCGCACTAATGCGGATTACCTTCCAACACCCCTGTGAACATGGTGAAGGGGAAGAAAGCACGAATATTGCTCTCAGGGCTTATTTCGTTATTTTGGTTGTTTTCATCGCCTCCTTTTGCCTGCGTTGACACTGTAGGACGAAATGAATTTGTCGGAGGAAATTCGAGAGGGCCTCCGTGCCCAGAACATTGCAGAGAAACGCGACTTGCTCGTCAAGTTTGCAAAGATTGGTGCGACGGTAAGTAAGCCATCGTATGCGCTGTCTAATGCATACTCACTATTAGATTTACAATTTTTCTTCAGACTTTTCCCATTTTCAACTCCATCAAAGTTATGAATGCAGTATGATAATGATATTACCGTACCCACTCTCGAGTAGAGAGAGACCCTGTTGCGGGGACACTCAGAAAATGTAAATGCCTCTCTCGGACAGCACCCCGAACTAGTATTCAAGCACACGTGCAAGTTTTGTTGCTCGTTGCAGTACTGTGGGTGAATCGTGCAACTATTAAAAGGTCTGGCACGGTGTTTAATGTTTCCAGTTTTCCACTTACGGAGGAAGTTCTAACTGCATTGTGAGCTACAGCTTGTGGGAGTGCTGATTTGACAGCCGTGGGTGGAAATGAATGTTGCATGTTGTGCAGGCAGGTGCTGGAGGACAAGCACTATTGGCAGGCTAGAAACTGGGACTAGTGCACTTCAAGCACCGGTAGATGACCGCGAACTGTATCCAGAATGGATATGGCAACAGATCAGCAAGAAAGCATTTTTGTTTCACTTTTTTGCAAATACCCGTATTATCTCTAATATAAGCACGGTCCTTTATTTTTTCAATGTACCTCCGCCCCGTGCTATTATTGGAGACGTTCCTTCATTGGAGACTGTTCCATTATTATTTCAACCTCATTTCAGAGACTTGTTGCCATGCCAAATTCATGTCAGACACACACATTTCAGGGTTTTTTCGCCGGTACAGATAATGAATTTACACAGTGTGCTTATAATGGAGACTGAGCACTTTATTTTTTGAATGCCGCCCCAAGGTGTTCTATTATTGGAGACGTGCTATTATTGGAGACTGTGCTTATATTAGAGATAATACGGTATGTGTGACTGGACATCCACTTATTTACCACTGAAGTTATTCTTGTTTTGTTTTTCTGTTGTTTTGGTAATTGAAGACAAATTCAGCTGGTCCCAATACTCCTGGCGAGTTTGTGGAGATGCTGAAAAGTGGTAACCCAGATGCCCTGTTGCAGACTGTCCAGCAGCTGAAAATCACACTTGCCAATAAGTCCGTTATGTAAGTGCTGTTTTGGCTGTTTGTGGAAACTTATATATGCTAGTGTTCGGTCACGGAATCTGGACTCCAAAGAAGACTGTATTTATTTCTGTTCTTCGTAACTGAACGAAAATCTCTAGACTAATAGTATGCACACATCATCGTGCCTTGGCACGGACATACCAACTCTGCTATTGTCCTCTCTCCAGGACCAAAACACTCTGCTTTCCAAAGAGACAAAAAAACTCTCCTCTCCAAAGTGAAACTGGTACTATAACAAAAGCACAGCTGATAAAGCGAACAGACCTACAGCCAATCAGCAAACCAGTTCCGTCATATGATCCGGCAGGTATTGCATGCCATGCATGTACTAGATTAATGCTACGGTACAGACAATCGCATGTCTAGACAGGTCCTAACAGTGTCTAGTCAGTACTAGCATCATGCTCACATGTGCCGGGTCAGCACACAATACATCGACCTAGCAAACGGTAACCTACGGGATCTACTGGAACATATCCCCCTCTCACACGAGGAGAAAACCACACTAAAAAAAAACAAAAACAATCCGAGTGTGACACAACTACATAATCATGTCCATCACTGTTACTCATTTCCAACTGGCAAAGGAACGAGATGATGGATGGCACGTTGCAGGATCTTGCCTCCAATCTTGACGTCCACGACGCGCACCTTGTTGTCCTTTCCTGGGAAGGTCTCCATAATGCGACCCAATGGCCACTCTCCGCGCGGAGTGCCGGGACTCATCCACATCACCACGTCACCCACCTTCAAGCTCCTCTTGGCCTGGCGCCAGCACTTCCGGAGGTTCAAGGATGGTAGAAACTCTCTTTTCCATCGCTGCCACACGTCGTCTACTAATCGCTGTACTGCCGCCCATCTCTTCCGCTGATGCTGATGCTCACCAAGCACCGTCACTTCCTTGGCCAGAGGCGCATCCATACGTCCCACAAGGAAATGCTGGGGAGTGAGGGGCTGATCATCCTGAGCATCATCTGAGACTGTAGTCAGCGGACGAGTGTTGATGAGATGCTCTGCTTCAATCAGTGCGGTCAGCAACTCCTCGTCGGTAAGCGAAGCATTAGCGAGTACTGTGGTGATGGCACGCTTAGCAGCTTTCACAACAATTTCGAATACTCCTCCGAAGTGGGGTGCCCGCGGAGGATTGAACCGCCACTCTATTCCTTCATGAGCGAATTTCCTGCTGACTTGCGTGCGATCAATGGCTTCGCTCGCCTCTCGGAGCTCTCGCTCGGCAGCTGTAAAGTTCGTGCCGTTGTCCGACACCATGATGGACGGAGTGCCGCGACGCTTGATGAATCTGGAGAATGCCATCAGGAATGCTTCTGTGTCCAAAGAGAAGGCCATCTCCAAGTGGCATGCTCTGGTCTCCAAACAGGTGAAAACGCACATGTACCGCTTCTGCTGCACTCGACCACGCCCTTGCTTTGTGTAGAACGGTCCTGCGTAATCTACTCCACATCTGGTAAATGGTTTGAGAGAACCACACGTGCGATGGTTGGGTAGCGGTCCCATGATCTGCTCCGCAGCCTTACTCATCAGTCGGCTGCATGTAACGCATTGTGCACGTACACTTTTGATCGCTGATGTACCCTGTACAATCCAGAATCTCTGTCGTAGGTTGGACAGCAGGTGCTGGGTTCCGACACCATGGCAACAGAGGTCGTCTTCGCGCTGGATGAGTAGCGTAGTGACTCGGTGACGCTGTGGTAGGATCACTGGCTGGCGAACACCAACAGGTAGGTTGACAGCATGCTTCAGTCGTCCGTTGACGACCATGAGAGCAGGGTGTGACGTCGCATCCAGGACCGCGTTGAGCCGGTAGAGAGGGTCAGATGGTGGTAATTCCTCACCTGCCCGTAAGCGCTTAAGCGTGGCTGGGTACGCTGACAGCTGAGCTTGTGCAAACCAATGTCGTTCGGCTCCTGCTACTTCTGCTGCCGTCAGCACCGGTACTGTCACTACTGATCTTGGCTTATGACCGCTTGCTAAACGGACATAGACTAGTGGGACACTGGTGTTGGCGGTGTCGACGTGGGTTTCCCCCCTCGTGACTGTCGCAGTCTGCCGTCGGGCGTTTTGTACGAACCGTAAGCACCAGGCAGTCACCCTGGTAAGACGCTCCCACGTCGAATATGTGGCAGGATCTAGTCGAGATGGCGTCACCTGGCTGGCGAATGTCATACATGGCTTCTTCTTCAGCTCACCAGGTAGTTGCGGAGGGGTAGCAAGCTCCACAAGCGGCCACTCTGTCTCCGGTCTGGTCAGGAAGTCCGGACCACTCCACCATGTGTGACGTCCAACGAGGTCCAGCACTTTCATACCTCGAGATGGGAAGTCGGCTGGGTTGAGGACTCCTGGTACGTGTCTCCATTGGCTAGCTTTGGTGTCGGCTTGAATCTCACCGACCCGGCAGGCGACATCTGAAGTGAAGTTCTTGGCATGGCTCCTCACCCAGTACACGACGTTGAGGGAATCGGTCCAGAACACATGTTCAGCAACAGGAATAGCGAGGGCTTGGCTGACAACTTTGCTGGTGCGCAGGCCAAGTACTGCACCTCGCAACTCCAACTTAGGGATGGTGACTTTCTTGATTGGGGTTGCCCGCGCCTTGGCGAATGCAAGGCTGACCTTCACAAAACCATCCGGATACGCCGCGCGGACATAACTGACAGCTGAAGTGGCGTGCGCCGAGGCATCGGTGAAGGTATGTACTGTGAGCTTCGCGGTGTCAGCCTGGCGCTCCATGCTTTTGAAGCATCGTGGCACTTTGATCCCAGCTAGATCTGGTAGTTCTGCAAACCACCTCTGCCACTTGGTCTCCAGCTCTGATGGGAGACGGTCATCCCAGGAACAGCCGAGAATGCATGCCTCCTGGAACAGCAGTCGAGCCCTTATCGTAAACGGCGAAATATGCCCTCTTGGGTCATAGATGCTGGCCATCTTGGATAGGACGCTTCGTTTCGTCAGCCGCTGGTCGTCCGGTGTGTTGTAGCGATAGCTGAACGTGTCAGACGCTGCGTCCCACACGACACCAAGCGTCTTCACAACTGCAGCTGATGCGGCGTCGCTGCAATCATCGATGCTCACCAGTGCATCGGCGGCTCGGTCGGCTTCCGGGATAGAACGGAGCACGTCACGGCTGTTACTGCGCCATTTCCGCAGGTGAAACGAGCCCATGTGGAGCAGGTCCTGCACCCCCTGCCGTACTGAGATGCCGGCTGGTACTGATGGTTGTGAGTTCAGGAAATCGTCAACGTAGAACGATTCCTCGACCGCTGCTCGGGCTGCTGAGTCGTACTGTTCCCCATGCTGTGCGGCTACCTCCCTCAGAGCTCGGCAGGCGATGAACGGTGATGCCTTCAGTCCGAACACGAGTCGAGTAAACTCGTAAATGGATGGTTGCTCGTCTGTCGACTTGCGCCACAGGAAGCGTACGTACCGCCGATCTTGCTGTTGTAGCTGGACCTGCAGGAACATCTCTGCAATGTCTCCTACGATCGCAACAGGTTCACGGCAGAACCTGAGTAGGACGTGAATCAGGTCATGTTGCAGTTTCGGACCAGTGTACATCTCATCATTGAGAGACACACCCCGCTGACGAGCCGCTGCATCGAAGACAACCCTCACTTTCGTGGTCGCCTTGTCGTGGCGCACGACAGGAAAGTGCGGTAGTAGCCATTGGTCACCGTCTCTGGCGGCACTATCCTCACAGCGGACCACATATCCCTTGTCGATGTATGATTGGAAGACTCTGTCGTACTCTGCTTGGATGTCCGGCTTCTTGAGAAGAGATCGCTCGAGGCTGATCAGCCGCTTCTCTGCCATGGCTCGGTTTGGCGGCAGCTGTGGCTGGTGGTCTGGCCGAATCCAAGGGATGCCTGTCGTGACACGACCATCAGCGATTTTCATCCTGTCAGCCACGAGGTGCTCTGCTTCTATCTCAGCCATCGTCTTGTCAGATTGTGGTTGCATGCCCACCTGGTCATCCTCCCAGAACTTAGCGACCAGTGTATCGAGCAATGGCTCACATACTGCAGATGCGTGCAGCGTGCACTCGGATGTGGCACCCGTCGGCATGTCCACCGGCCCAAAGCAAACCCAGCCGAGTGGTAGACGGCGTGCAATGGGCTCTCCCGCGCGCCCAGTGGCCTCCTCCAGCACTCGGTGTACATCAATGACATCGATACCAATCAGGATGTCTATCTGCCGCGAGTCGACCTGTGGTAGCGGTAGTTGCTGGAGGTGGGGGAATTGTTGGCTCATCTGATGCCAGTCAACGGCCGGTAGCGGAGCTGTGATGTCAGGCTGGGTCCATGCTTGGAACGCCGTGCTGTAGTCACCATCATGACTGTGGATGGTCAGGTTGACTCTCTGCCGGCGGCCTGTTACTGTCGTTCCGCCTAGGACTGAGGTGGTGAGCTGCTCATCTGGCCCGCTGACACCCAAGCTCTCAGCAGCGTCAGCCCTGATATAGCTGGTCGATGATGCCGAGTCGATCAGTGCCACTGCATCATATGTCCGGTCTTGGTGTTGCAGCTTGACTGGCACAGTCATGAATGCAACATGGACCCCGGTGTTAGCGGTGCAGGTGGTTGCTGTGGCCGTCGCTGCTGTGTCGGATGGACGCTGTGGCTTCTCACGTGATCCACCGCCTCGCTGTGGACTGTCCAGTCGATTGCTTTGATTCATGCTGGCTGGCTCTTTGTCCGTCTTCCTGCTGTAGCTCTGCTGTTGTCTCACAATGTGGAGCATGTCATGGTGTTTTCCACCGCACTTAGCACATGGGTTGCTCCTGCACTCAGCAGAACGATGGCCAGCAACGCGCAGGCAGCAGGTACACACATTCAACGGCTTAACGAATTTCCACCGGTCTGCTGATGACAAGGTGGCAAATGCCCGGCAGTCAGCTAAGCCGTGGCCCTCTCCGCACTTCTTGCATCTGGCCTTTGGCGTCTCATTTCCTGCTGTAGTTGCCAACGTTCTATGTGGTCGATGATCGTGTCGGCTCTGTGACTTCTGCAGCACTGCCGTTGATGTGGGTGTCTTGTGGGTCTCTGCCTGCCTCTCCTCTACCTTCCTCAGCATATGGACCAGATTCAATAGCCAGTCTGCAAAGTTGCAAACATCGCAGTTCCGGTCCTCGTGCAGCTCAAAATACCTCAGCAGGAGGGTCGGTGGTATTTTCTGGGTTGCTGCTAGGTACAGTTCACGGCCGGGAGCAATGCCACACGACTTCATGTTGACCAGGGTACTCCGCAGCTTTAGAGCAAACTTCTTTAGCTTGTCGGTGGCTTTAGCGTTGTCAATCTTGGGCCACGTCAGGATATCTTTCTCGTGACGCTCAAGTTGTCGCTCCTCACCGCCATACCAGGCTTCTATTTCCACCAATGCTGCTTGAAAGGCGCCTGTTCCGTCCATAATGTCCTGGACGAGTTCCTCGGCACTCCCTCCGGCGAGTGACTCTCTCAGTCTCGCCATCTTGTAGTGCTCAGTTGTGTGGGGGTCTGTTCCCACCAAACTCATGAATTTCTGTCTCCAAGGGACATAGTTCACTGGCGCTCCGTCAAACTGCGGTAGCTTCAACGGCTTCAAATGGGATCTGTATGTCCCGGCATGAGGGTAAGCAGCTGGTGATGTATATGGACGTTGTCCATCTGGCTGACTATACTGCGTAGCCAACTGACTCTGTGCAGCTGCTGGTGCACTTTGCTGTACATAATATGGCGTGTAAAAAGTTGCAGGATTCGCAGCTGGTGATGTATATGGACGTTGTCCATCTGGCTGACTATACTGCGTAGCCAACTGACTCTGTGCAGCTGCTGGTGCACTTTGCTGTACATAATATGGCGTGTAGAAAGTTGCAGGATTCGCAGCTGGTGATGTATCTGGCTGACTATACTGCGTAGCCAACTGACTCTGTGCAGCTGCTGGTGCACTCTGCTGCTGTACATACGGTGAGTAGAAAGTAGTTGCAGGATTCTGGCTGCTGGCTGCGGGTCTGGCTGATTGACCTCTTGCACTCACTACTCTGGCCTGTCCAAGCTGGCTAGGCACTTTCTGCTGGACTGTGTAGCTACTTGGCTGCACTTGAGATGTCACAGCAGGGTGATACTTCTGGTTAGCTGGTGTCTGATACTGTGGGCCTTGGGGCAGTTGTGGCTTCAGACTAGTTGTGGTGAATGGTGCAAAGCTGGACTGCACAGTGACCATCTTTCCTGGTCTGTGTTGTGCGTTGTTACTAGTATTAGCCACAGCTACTGGGGCAAAACTGTTACTCTGCAACACAGGATTCACTGCACTATCACCAGACATACCTGCATGTACTTGACTGCCGCTAGCGCTGTCGCTGCTCACTGGACCATCAATGACAATGGACTGTGCATGTGTCACTGTGGATGGCAGTCCGTCACTTCGACCAGCTTCCACTTCCACCGTTCTGGTCTTACTTGGTAGCCAGCTCTGGGGACTTCTTCGTTCCACATCCACAGCACTCAAGCATGGAGGCAGACTACCAGCTGGTGTTTGTCTTGGCTTGGCTGGCTGGATGTCAACTGCGTCCACCACGCTGAAGGCGCGCCCTGCTCTCCCAGACTCTGCGCTGGTAATTTTGAGCTTCTCAAGGAGTTGATGATGGCGCACGAGTGCTTCTGTCGTGAGCCCTTGTCCAACACCTGCGTGGGACAGTCTCCGTGCACTTTCATCTCTCCGACTCCTGCGGCTGCTCGCGGTGGAGCCTTTCTCTGAGAGCTCCAACTCCAGCGCTGCTCCGTCTGCAGCCAATCGCTTGGTCACCAACTCTCTGTTGAGTTCCAATCTCTTTTCGACCGCCTCAGCCTCCAGCTGGACTAATTCCTCAGCAGCTTGCAACTCTCTCTCGCGTATCCTGGCCGCGAGTTCCAGTTCGGCTTCCTTACTGGATTTCTTGGAAACTTGGGAGACACTATCCCACTCTCCATATCGCGAAGGAGGCTTACCCTTCGTCGACCTGACGCTCGTTCTTTTTTCCATCGACTCCGATTACTGCCTCGGACTCGGATCCGGCTCGAAGGACCAGTTGTTCGGTCACGGAATCTGGACTCCAAAGAAGACTGTATTTATTTCTGTTCTTCGTAACTGAACGAAAATCTCTAGACTAATAGTATGCACACATCATCGTGCCTTGGCACGGACATACCAACTCTGCTATTGTCCTCTCTCCAGGACCAAAACACTCTGCTTTCCAAAGAGACAAAAAAACTCTCCTCTCCAAAGTGAAACTGGTACTATAACAAAAGCACAGCTGATAAAGCGAACAGACCTACAGCCAATCAGCAAACCAGTTCCGTCATATGATCCGGCAGGTATTGCATGCCATGCATGTACTAGATTAATGCTACGGTACAGACAATCGCATGTCTAGACAGGTCCTAACAGTGTCTAGTCAGTACTAGCATCATGCTCACATGTGCCGGGTCAGCACACAATACATCGACCTAGCAAACGGTAACCTACGGGATCTACTGGAACAGCTAGAATGTCAGTTTTACTTGTGAAACATTTGCATACTCCTGGCGTGCCATACATGGCACACACTCTTGCAGTATTTCTGATGATGTCACGCTGATCAATTTGATATTCATATTGTGAGTCGTGCACATCTCCCTGTTTCAAGGGTGGGTCATCCTATAGTATCAGGAAAGTTTCTGCCGCAAGAAGGGTGTCTGTTTAGATTTAAATGTATCCAATGGTTTGTGTACACTGCTTTCTTCTGTTTCCTGGCTTGTGTAGCTGGGCAAAGGAGTTCGGCGAATGTAGTGGACTGAAAGCAATATTAAGTGTGCTGGACAGTACTCAAAATGTCAGAAGAATGTAAGTTTTATCTGTTTGCTTATACAATGAAACCTTGGAAATCCAACCACCCTCGGGATCAGCCAAAAAGTTTGCATTCGTCCGAATGTTGTAGCACCGCAGGGAAACCCCTTATTCAGTGCATAACAAACGTATCTTGTCGATCAGAATGTAACTTTGACCTTGTCTCAAGCATCTGCAACACTAAAGTAATGTGATTTCACCCATCAATCCATCTAGATGAGGTCACACCGGGCTAAACATGAATGGAAGCTTTCTTCAGCACGCCAGGACAGTACACTGGTTCATCACTTTATGTGTGCGCTTGAATTAACTGCCTGTTGTTGATGGGATTTCTCTTTGGTTGTTTTGCTTAACAGAGCAAGTGATAAGCTGGACATGCACCTGAAGCTGGAGTATGCCTGTGTACGCTGCATCAAAGCCTTGGTCAACAACAGAGTAAGTTTCTCTTGCAAACAAACGAATACTGTAATTTCACAAATTTTCGGTGTACCTTTATTTTCGGTACTTTCGGTGCGTCTGTTTCATACCTAAAATTTCAATACACCGAACAAACACTAACACACGTAATCCAATAGGGAACTGCTTCTCTGTACCGAAAATTTCTGTTCACCTTACCTAGCCTGTTGCCCTCATACCGAAAATATTGAGCACCGAAAATAGTACTCTAATTTCAGAAATTTTCGGTGCTCAATATTTTCGGTATGAGAGCAAAAAGCTAGGTTAGGGTGAACAGAAATTTTCGGTACAGAGAACCAGTTCCCTATTGGGTTACGTGTGTTAGTGTTTGTTCGGTGTATTGAAGTTTTAGGTATGAAACAGATGCACCGAAAGTACCGAAAATAAAAGTACACCGAAAATTTGTGAAATTACAGTAGTTAAATTGGTATTCAAATGAACATTGGTTTGTGATAATCATGGTTCGTCACATCACTAATGTCCACGGATGATAGTGAGATATTGCTCTTATTATAGGCTTGATTCTGCCATCTTTGTTTGGCAAGGCCGGGTTTCCATGGAATGCTATGCTTTGGATGCTCGCTGTGAAGATGCTCTTGTTGAAAGCAGGTAGATAGCATGGGAGTATCACGCACCACCCCTTTGGTCCACACCATTGACTTCTCCTATACCGTATAACAGCAAAATAGGAGAGAGATACTGTTGTAAAATGTTCACATGCTGTAAATTGTAGACGACCATCAAACCATGACGAAGTGCAGCCAGCTCCAAGTTGATTTCATCAGCGGAGATGTGATAAGCTTCACTGTGTTGTGAGGTAGCTTCGTGCTCTTCCGCAGCTTACAGTTGTGTGTGTGTGTGTGTGTGTGTGTGTGTGTGTGTGTGTGTGCGTGTGCGTGTGCGTGTGCGTGTGTGTGTGTGTGTGTGTGTGTGTGTGTGTGTGTGTGTGTGTGTGTGTGTGTGTGCATGTGTATGTGTCGGCTGTGTGCATGCTTGTTGATTATGTGTCCTATTGTTATATTGCAGTATGGCTTGAAGCTGATTCTGGATGATGATGAGGGCTTGGCAATGCTGGCAAGGTCGCTGGATCCCAATGAGCCTGGTCTTATGATAGAGGTCATCAGTGTCATGGCAGCGCTGGCTATTGTTCCACCGATTGGGTGAGTGGGTTTGTTTAGTTGTGTGTGTGTGTGCTGTGCTGTGCTGTTCTGTCTACCGACACGTTGAGCGTGGAGTAGTGCTGACAATGCTGACAGTGAGTTGGTGGACAAGCCGTTGATTATTCACTCTCATTGTAATATCAAAAAAAGTATTCTTTCTAGACCAAAGAGTGGTATATTTGATAACATTTAATAACGATAGAAATATTTACGATGCTTCTCCAGACGTTTCGTTGTTCTGAACAACATCGCCACTGACGATGTTGTTCAGAACAACGAAACGTCTGGAGAAGTATCGTAAATATTTCTATCGTTATTAAATTTTATCAAATATACCACTTTATACCACCCTTTTATACAAACTCTCATTCAACTTCAACAGAGATTTCAAGTTTATATTTTCAATATAAACCTGAATATAAACTTGAATATAAACGCCTTTTTTTAGGGCCACAACACTGTCAGCAGCAGGATTAGGCAGTAGAATCGGATGTAGAGCGCTTTCTCTTTAGCTTTTTCCGAGCTTGCTTAGCACGGTCAGCATGAATGTTGAACACAATAGATGTGTTCTGAAATGTAGAAGCAGCGGCATTCAGATAGGGAGCCAAAGCAGATGAACTCACAGTAGAAGTACTATTCTGAACAGGGCTAGCCTGAACAGAAGTGGCTATGGATGAAGGGTGCAGTGGAAAATTCTCTTTGCAAGTGGCAGGCGGAACAGCTTTCACAGAGCCAAGATCAACAGCAGCAGCCATAGAGCAAGAATCTTTTGTGGTGGGGCGATCATAAGCAGATAAGGATTGAACATTACGATGGCCTGACACACTGCAAATTCGCCTATCATCAATGCCACTGCGCTTCATGTTGGTAATGCAAGTGGCACGTACACAATGATTAGTATAAGCCATGGAAAGATCAGCGAGCTCAGACAATCTCTTCATCATTCCTGCTAACAGATTGTGCGACAGCGGTGAGCGTGTGTACCAACATGACATATCAGCAGGAAGCTTACCAGGTTTCACAGCGCGCTGAAACAAGCGATCTTGGTCAGGGTGAAGCTTGTCAAGGTAACGCTTGATTGCTGTCAGCTGCGTTTGATCATTGATTACTCCTGCTGACGACCAGTCCGATCCTGTCAAGCCCCCTTGGTGATTCTTGGACATAAACGATGTTCCAAGCCTGAGCACGTCTTGTCCGTCGATAGATTCAAACACGAGGTCGCGTTTCGTTAGCTTTGACTGCATTTCACCACCTCTGAGGCAGAAGTGGAGAGTTAGCTGGTACCAAACGTAGAACGCCAGCTTGATCGCGTCGGTTGTTTCGACGACATCCTCGAAATATGTGCGCAGCTTTCCGAGATCGTCTTCAGACAGTGGTTCTTTGTGCTTTACAGCTGGTTCGTTGCCTGCGCGCTTGCGTGCCTTTAGTACACCATCCAATAGTTTGTTGGTCCTTGCAAAGGCTTCATCGCTGAAGATGTTGATTTCTCGCATAGAAGACAGATGACGCTGTATAGCACTTCTTGCTGCCAGAAGACTGTTCTTTGAGAAAGGAGTTCCATGGCGCGTCTTCGCATCGACGTAGAAAGAGCCAACTAGGTCTGAAAGCTCCGGAATGGGGATTGAGGAGAAGTTCGTAGTCGAAGCCTTTTGATCTTTGCAGTAATCAGTGAAGAGCCGTACCCAATACTGGGTTGCTGAGTGTGTACTCTTTGGAACAGCGTCAGAGATGAGTTTTTGCTGGTCCTCCTTCGTTGACGCTCCGAAAACTCTTTTCTTGGGTGGATCTTCAGACTGATCTGGATCCATAGTGAAATCAATGTTACCACAACTGCCAAACTGGAGGAAGTGGCAGATATGGGGTGCCCAAGTTGCTTATAACTTCAAAAAGCGCGCCCAAATTTGCGCGCCTAAATTCACCATGGAAACAAGCAGTTGACCGTGTTCTCCAACGTCGTCACCTAAAGAATGTCACGAAAGTTCTCACTTTTTGGAGGAAGCTCTGCACTGGCCTAGTGACTAGGTAAAGCGATACTGTTGTCAGTGTTGACTCCTGCATAACCGCTGTACAGTGCTAGTAGGCTAGTCTACTGTCTTCCACAAGTAATGAAGAATGGCTATCTCTTCGGTAGAAGACAAGGGTAATGATTAATGGCTGATACTGCTCACAAAAAAGCCGGTGGAGTTGAATGGAGGTTTGTATAAAGGCTGGTATAAATATACTACAACCTACTCTTAGGTTTATACGTGGAATATAAACTATCACACAAACCTCGGCTTCGCCTCGGTTTGTGTTCAGTTTATATTCCACGTATAAACCTAAGGTTAGTTTGTATTATATACCTTTGGTCTAGAAAAAATACTTTTTTTGATAATGCTGACAGTGCTTACATAGCACTTGTGTAGTTACACTTCCTACTCTCTTGGAGAAGTAGTGTACGGGACCGCTGGCACAACCCAGCACAGCGAACACTATCAGGCATGCAAACCAAGCTGAAACGCTGTTTGAAAGTGACGGAGGGGGGGGGGGGGGGGGGTGTGGTAGTGTAACGTACTATAGGGCATGACTGTGAGCCTGTGGCCTGCATGTACTTGGTCCTACACACATTATTTTTTGGTACCTTTTGACCTGGCACTTGCATGACACTGTGTCATGTGATCTCTTACACTATACCAGTATGTAGGGGTGCGGCATTGTTTTGTTGAAACAATTTCTTAGTCGTGTATTGCTATGTTTTGTTTTGGATTTTCCTTTCCATGTCAACTTCAACTTGTTGCAGGCATGACAAAGCTCTCGAAGCATTGACTCTCTTAGGAGAGCAGGATACGGTTGGAAGGTTTGATGTTCTGATTGACGCATTACGCCTGGAAAATACGGATTCTCGGAAAAAGAGTGCATTACAGGTAGGCATTTTATCGATATACTCAATCTGCGCATTTGTATTTGTATTGCCTGAATTTCACCACTACTTTTTTCTTAGCCGAGCCCGATGCCTGTTTCTCTCTTGTGTTCTTCTTTCGTCCGGCCGCATTGGATCACTATGTTGAATTGCTGCTTTTCAAGAGTGATTACTACACAATTGATAACCTAAGCTCCTGATGCATCTCCGGCCGTGATAACTGCTGTCATGCTGCCTGGAAGAACATATCAATTCTGGTTGGCCTAGTGGTAGACAGAGGTTGTTTTTGCTGGTGGTGTTATTGGTGATGGTGCTGCTGCTGCCGCCGCCGCTGCCACCGTTTTTGTTGTTGTTGTTGTTGTTGAATTCTTTATCCTCACGATGGCACCATCGCCAATACAAGTTGTTGTTGTTGTTATTGAATTCTTTATCCTCACGATGGCACCATCGCCAATACGAGTTGTTGTTGTTGTTGTTGTTGTTGTTGAATTCTTTATTCTCACGATGGCACCATCGCCAATAAGAGTTGTTGTTGTTGTTGTTGTTGTTGTTGTTGTTGTTGTTGAATTCTTTATTCTCACGATGGCACCATCGCCAATAAGAGTTGTTGTTGTTGTTGTTGTTGTTGTTGTTGTTGTATGTGCATGTAGCTGATGATCTACTGTAAACCGTGAAATTATTGCGATGGTCTAATTTCTGCAAAATTCGCGACCGCGTGGAAATCGCGAAATTTAGACAGTGTGAAAAGGAGATCCATGAAAAAACGCCGCGAAAATTTCACGCTTTACAGTAGCTTTTTGGCCAACTTGTCTGTTGCCATATCCATGTGGGCTTTGGATATTTCTTGTGCTGTTTCTTGTTATTAAAGCTGTTGATCTCTGTTTTACTTTGCCGTGGTTGTTTTGCCCAGTTATCCTGTCTGCAGTTCATCAACGCTATTGTGACACTTCCGGATGACTTGGACATGCGTGTGCACCTGCGCTGTGAGGTGTTGCGTGCTGGTTTGAACACCGTCATTCTGGAAATGAACTCAGAGGAATTGACTGATAATGTGGCTGTGCAACTTGAAGTCTGGGATTATCACAAAGAAGAAGACATGATGGAACTGCAACAGCGTACCCAGGATGTTCGTGCTGAAATGGATGACCCGTATGAGCTCTTTAACCTTCTCATGTTGATCCTTAGTGATGGACCAGGGTACCCGTTCTTCTTATCTTTGCTTCAACACCTTGTGCTAGTTCGCGATGATGACTATTCCCGGACAGAGTATCTTAGATTGATTGATGAGTGTGTATCGCAGATTGTTCTTCATCAGGGTGGTGTCGATCCTGACTTTGCTACTCGTCGATTCCATATTGATGTTGACCCTCTTATTGAAGGCATGGTGGACAAAGCACAAGTTGAGGATGCAATCGCAGAGGCAGAGCATCTACGTGAACTTGTAAGAACCCATGGTGAAGCATGATCAAGTTCTGTTAAGTTCTTCAATGGTGTCAGTTGCCTGGTTTAGGCTAGGCTCTTCACTGCCTTTATTTCTGTGCGTGTCTGTGTGAGTGCGTCCTAGTAAATACAGTGATATCCTTCAGAGTCCGAAATTTACTTGTGAGATTCTAGCCGTGAACTGTTTTCTTTAGCGGTCTTTGCACGGATGAAGGAGCCAGTCTGGAGATACTGCTGCATGCATGCTTAGTTTGCTGCACATGCCCCCAGGTGTAGGTAGTGGTGCTGATTGAGACCCATACTGCGCCTATATTCATATGCATATGCACATGTAGGCATGTTATCATGCATTTTTGTTTTTGCTATTGTTCGTTTCAGATGGATGAGCAGATCGAAGCTGCAAAGGATAAGGAAACGTACTGGGCAGAGCGTGTGGATGAGCTTCACGTAGATCTAGGTCTGAAAGAGACACAGAGAATCAAGGAGGTCGATGCGCTGAACACCAAGGTAAGAGACGAGACTGTGCGCGATGCGTTACCTTTCTTTCATGGGATTTGAAAGTGATGACGTCGTGTCGTTATATCTGACTGGGTATTAGAGATCACACGTTAGTTTTCTAATTTTTCATGCACTCTTCGGTAGGTTATGTGTGGTATGTTTGTAGCTGGCCCATTTTGTTGTTGTTTCATGCTGGTGTGATGTAATTCTTAACCCCCGTCCGCCTCCTCCTGAGGACCTTAGGGTCCAGTCACTCCCAGGGATAGCATGAACTTACTGTGAAGTAGACCACTTCGAATTTGCATGGATCCATACCAAAACTGGAACGCAACTGGATCCGATATCAGGGCTGTCATGCCAGTGGCAAGGCACTTGCAAGGCTTATTAAAGTTGACGTGGTTAGAACGTCTGAGTCAAGACAACAAGTTTATATGCATGCATGTGTGCGATGCGATGTAAATGTACATGTGAACGAGCTGTTTGCCTGTGTTCTGTGGTGATTTCAGATTCAGGAGATGTTGAAGAAAGGCGTTCAAGCTCAGGGTGGTAAGATGATCAGTCAATACTGAATGCTTTGCTAGTCTTAGTTTTCTGAACGTTTTGTTGTTTTCTTGTCGCTCTAGTCATGCACGTTGCTTGCATTGTGACCTTCGGAATAGATACATGATTTGGCGGATGTCTGTGTGTAGTGTTGATACCACCGCAGGTCCTATGCTCAGGTCCTATGCTTACCTGTGGCTTTCAGCTGTACTGTTACCTTCTTTTTGTTTATATTTATCACAACCTAGGCGCAGCAGCACCATCTTCTGATAATAAGACTGCAGACAAGACAGAAGCAGCGAAAGAGCCTGAGAAGGCAACGGCACCAGCACCTCCGCCACCTCCGCCTCCGCCACCATCAAACGCTGCAGGACCACCTCCACCGCCACCGCCACCTGGAGCTGCAGGTGGCCCCCCGCCTCCCCCTCCACCTCCTGGTATGGGTGGTCCACCAGGTCCACCCGGTCCACCTCCTCCCCCGGGTGGTATGCCAGGTGCGCCGCCTCCACCGCCATCCCTCGGCCTTCACAATCCACTGGGTGCTCGCAAGTCGAATGCTGGAAAGAAGAAATATACACAGCTTATTCAGTTGAAGCGTTTGAACTGGAACAAGGCAAGTTTGTGTTTGGTACTTCTCTCAACAACTTGTCTGTTTTCCATTGCTCTGACGATGGGGTGTGTAAACGCTCGTCACAAGTAAGCGTTCACCCACGCTGAAATTCAATCATACACGTACACGATAATTATATGTACACTGGAACGGGTTAGCCGGAATCCAACTGGTTTTAGCGTTCTGTCAGATAGTTTCTTGGTGTGGTAGCTGTACTGATGTAGGCTACACGTGCTGCTTTTTCTGCTTTGATCCCGTTAACCGGCGTTTTCCTGTTCTGTTTTTTTTGCAGATCCAAACTCGTCAGCTTAAGACAGATTCGTTCTGGAGTACTTGTCGTGAAGACAAGTTTGAAAGTGACGTGCTATTCAGAAAACTGGAGTCGGCATTTGCTGCAAAGAGTAGGTCATAATGCCTGCCTCTGATGTTGCTGGTACACTCACGTTTTTGGAAATGATCATTATGCTGTAATGTCTACACTCATGGCCGAAGCCAATCAAAGGAAGTGAGGGCGATAATAGCCAGATGTGGCAAGCTGAGCAAAAAGATAATAATTATGGGAAAGAACAAAAAGAGAGTGAGATGCGAGGTGCACTGTTTTAGTTATATGGCCACGCCTGTGGTATGCAAGCGCACAAACAAGCTTCCGAACTGGTCGTACTTGGAAAGAAGTTTAATCACACAGTACGCACGCCGTGAGTGGTAAAGAATTGCTACAGGATTCTGTAAAACATGTGTGCATTTGGCAATGTGCGCTTGCCTCCTATTTGGAAGTGGATGTGTTGTTTCGGAAGTTGTACTTCAGGATTAGTATACAGACTTGTCCCCATGTTTCACTCGTTTAGTATGCATGGCCATCCTCCACAGCTCCGTTTGCGTTCCTATGGTACTACATTACATGGTGAGATCATTACTGGAGGCTCTGCAAAAGCTTAAACTCGACTCAAGATGTCCATGCGCTGCAAGATGTGTACACGCTGCCCGTGAATCAGACATGAAAAAGGACTTGTTTCAGTTAATGCGAACAAGAAGTACAGCTCCACAATTTGAATGTGAAGTGAGAAACTGGCCAAGCTCTTACTAGCCAAATCAGCCTGCGGAAGGTTGCTAAAAATGTGGCATATCCTTGGCCTATAATTACAGGTGCACTCTAACTGTCTGTGCATGTACAGCGCACCATTATCTGACCCCTCTGGGCCGAATCCCTTCATGTCTCTGAACAGGACTCCTGCATGCCAGGTTTGTAAGACACCATGGCTGGTTTTTCGTTCCTCTATTCCATTACAGGCCCAAAGAAGGAGAAGACACAAGGTGATGGTGGAGAAGCTGCAGCACCACAAGCATCCAAGAAGACGAAAGTGCTGCGTGTCCTCGATCCTAAGTCATCACAGAACCTGTGTAAGTTATCATACAAGCATCTCGTATGCTGTTTTAGTATTTTATGTGAATGACCAACATCTGAAACTACAGTACTGTCGGGCGCTGAACAACTGGGGATCAGGGCTCTAGCCTAGCCCGTTCTTATTTTTAGCGATCACAGCAGTTTCATTCTTATTCGATGGTACAGTCTTACATGTACATTTATGCAGAGTTATACGTCTGAGTGTACATTACGGTTTCCGTTCTTATCTGCAAAAATCCAGTCTAGACTGTTCTTAAAAATTGGTGAAATTCTAGCATGGCCGTTCTTCGGCGCCCGACAGTACTGTACACTGCTATTGGGATTACGAATGCCTGGCATTGGCTTCAGTGCACCAAACAAGGATGTTGTGTCAGTCTTGAGCATCGTGTGTTATTTTGTTAAATCTTGGATCCTTCCTATTCATTCTTCTTTTCCTATTTACTTCTGGCTTCTCGTCGTGTTTATGGCAGCTATTATGCTGGGCTCACTTAAAATGCCCTTTGATGAGATTCGGCTGCGGATTCTACGTTGTGATGGTGGCTTGGAGCCAGAGTCTATCCAGGCTATTCAGAAATACCTACCTCCGGCTGACAAGGTGTGTAACTTGTGTTTGCTGGTGCCCTGCTGTGTCTGGTGTTGTATGTGTCGCTTTCATAAGCTCACCGGTAGTTTTGCCAGTAGTGACTTCGGTCGCTTGCAACCAGCCACTGATTCTGTGGAATTAAGTTTGAACACTTGTGATGGGAAAAATGGCATCGAAGGGCTTTTCGGCAGGGCCTGGTCAAATTCTAGAAGATTGCATCGAGTTTGTCGGAAAAAGGAGATGTTCATGCCCTTGGGACATGGAATCGCGTTCCTCACGATGAATTTTACCTGCTCTGCGCTTTTTCGGGGATGAATGATTCTGGCCGTGGGAGTTTCCAAGGCGGTGAGAAGCTTTTTCTTCCTCTATGAGCAGCTGTTTTTCGCCGGCATGCCATAAAGTATGCACTATCGTTCCATATGCGCAGCTCGAGTGAAGCTTGATACATGTAAATGTACCTAGCCGTCATGGTAGATGCAGCAGATACTGTAAAAGCCATATATATATAACGGAGTGCTAACTCTAACGAGTTAACGAGGAGAAATCTGTCGTTAAAATAGAAATCGTTATGCAGAAATCGATACATATAGACGCGTACCTAGGCATTTCAAAACTATAGACGCGTACCTAGGCAAAAACCGTTATGCCAGCATCTATACCATGTGCACATAAAATCTGTGATCACTTTTTGCATAAATTTTTCCAAATTGGGCGCGTCTGTTATCAAATCGTTTAGAAACTATATGAGAGTAATTGTGGAGCGGACCTGAGCAATATTCCGAAAACTATTCTCAAAAAGCTCCAGCCAAATTTGAAATATTTCAAAAACCCTACGCGTCTATAGTTTTGAAATGGACTGTAGTGTCCTATTGAGCGTTGAGAATAAGTGAGAATCGTTACCTTTGGTACACGTAAACCAGTCAATTTTGGGAAATCGTTATATATGCGCCTCGTTTGAATAATGGCTTTTACAGCAGTGCTCCAGTGGATGTTACTGAACCTACGCTATCGGTAGATTGGCAGTTTTTCTTCATGTAGATGCTGCAAGGAGTACTGTATGCACCGTATTGACATGCAGTGTTGCACTACGCACCTTAGGCACAGGTTTTGTTAGCACTGACTGTCTGCACATGCAAACCAAACTGATTTGCAGAAAACAAAGTCTAATTATGCTTTGCTAACTTCGAATTATCAGCACAAAATCCCACACATTTTCTATGTACCGCAAAGTACCGTTGATCCGCCCTCCCCATGCCATGTTGCTTCCCAGCTGGGTTTTCGGTAGGGGGCGGGAATTATATCAAGGCTGTCAAGTGAAGTACGATGTACAACAACGCGGAGGATCAGACTCGATGTGCTGGATTGTGCAAATTTTCATCCTGGATTGGCATCGTCTTGCGTTGTATACGCCGAAGTCGCTTCACAGGTAGAACATCGACAGGGGGCAGGAATTAGAGAGGGGGCGGATCAACGGTACTTTGCAGTAAGTGGATTTGGTGAGACTTCTAATTAACCGGACATACCCAGTTTGAGGTTCGAATTATCAGAAATTGTTATGTGGAAATCGTATTGATAGAAATCGGTCCTGGAAAAACTTCTAATTAACCCTTTATGTACCGCGCATCTAATGTATGCGTAGGGTACTCCTCGTCAATGATGGACCTATAGGATAAATTCTAGACGCATTTTGTATGTGCAAGTTATGTTTTTCTGAATCTATAGTAATGAATGGGTCCATTTGTCAACATATTGTAATCCAGCATGCAGCTATAAGTAGAGGGCATACAAAGAATACCCAATTATGAGCCAATTGTGCGTAATTCTGACAATTGAGATCGCTACATTTGAAATAAAGTATAGACGTATCAGGGACGGCCATTGGGACGCACAGTGACAGAAGGATACCACAGGCACTAGTTGCATGCATGAATAGCAACAGAAGGGGCGGAAAACGGATGTATCGTCTAATTACTAGACGCAAACAATTGCGTCAAATATTCAAATTATTGCAATTATTTCAGATTTGAAATATGCAGTTTTGCTGATCTACTCACGTCGAGTGAGGATTGGTGATTGAGAAGACAAGAAATAGTTACTAGGGGATGACCTCCGCCTGCCTTGGTGATTTTATGCCATCGCTGCCCTCCCTCTCGCTGCTACTTGCAGAGCGAATGGCTTCAGCGATGAAAATTGGCAGTTTCGATTCAGATCATGAGGAGATATCGCTGCTTCAGCTCTCTCCAGGTGTCTACCACTACTAGAGGATGTCGACATTAGCTGGAGAAGGCTATATCTCTATTAGCAGCAGCGTGACGGAACGAAAACACAATCGAAATTGGCAAAATATATCGCAGAGCGCTGCATTTGCGAAGCGCACATTTTGCCGCGATCGGTCTCCATACTTTCAAATGGCGACCTACCCATATCATACATCAAAATTTTCAGTGGGGTCTCAGCTGTCTACTGCAAAAAAACCGCGAATCAATCAGAGAAAGGACGCCGCCGAACGGCGTGTCCAAGTGCGGCGCGCCGAACCGTAAATATTTTTACGGTTCGAGATGGGCGCAGTACATAAAGGGTTAAGCAGTATGTTCGAATTAAGCTATATTCGAATTATCAGGATTCCACCTGTATGTACGTATGACGTTCGCAACAGCATGTGTAAATCAATGTTTTTTCTCTTGTTTTCCATCAACCAGCTGAAAGAAATCACACACTATCGCCATAGCTACAGTGAATTGGCAGAGTCGGAGCAGTTCTGTCTGACGGTAAGCTAGGCATTTTGACCTATGGAACAGTTCTGTCTGACCCTGTGCTAAGCATATTGGTCTATGGAGCAGTTCAGTCTGTTCTGTCTGATGATGTGCTGGGCATATTGGTCTATGGAACAATTCTGTCTGGTGTTCTAAGCATATTCGACTGCTCTTGTCGTTATACCCTGGACTCACATTGACCGTGTGCACGTTTTCAGTGAAACCCCTGGTCCTAGGCTGGCTTTATTCCCAATGAAATGAAACCCCTGGTCCTAGACTGGCTTTATTCCCAATGAAATGAAACCCTGGTCCTAGGCTGGCTTTATTCCCAATGAAATGAAGCCCCTGGTCCTAGGCTGGCTTTATTCCCAATCAAAACAACTGTTTACAGCAATTACTCTAGGTGTCAAAATCAGCCTTCAAGCTTACAGCAACTGAGACAATGTTATACCTGTTTTGACTGAAGTGCTGTATTGTGTGCTGTGCAGGTGGGAACAATATTCCGCTTGGAGAGAAGATTGGATGCAATGGTGACACAGTTCCGGTTCCAAGAGGAGATTGAGGATGTTAAGCCGAACATTGACCTTCTGATTTCCGCCTGTCAAGAGATGCGCTCAACACGCTTCCGCAGCGTTCTGGAGCTTGTACTGCTGGTTGGTAACTACATGAATGCTGGCTCTCGTAATCAGCAATCCTACGGATTTGAGCTGAACTTCCTAACCAAGCTAAGAAACACGAAGACCACTGATAACAAGAAGACGTTGATGCACTTCTTCGCAGATCTAATCCACACTGAACACCCGGAGCTGGCATCATTTGTCGAGGACATGTCAAGCTGTGGAAAGGCAGCACGAGGTGGGTCATTCTGATATTCCTCATTTTTATTGGCTCAGTGAGTGCATTACCATGGCTATGCACTATCAAGGGTACACATTCTACATAACCCCCAAGAGGGTGCAACTGCCTGCACAGCCTCGATACAGTGCTGCGACGGCAGAACTTCACATCACGTGACATGGTTCAAAAGGTTACGCTGGCAAGCAGTGCATTGTGACCTGTATCTTTCGTGCACAGGGTGCAAGTAATGTGTATGGGCACAACTGTACTTACTGTTCTCTGCCTGTTGGTGCTCAGGGAATCTGTTGTAGCAAGCTATGCTCATTCTCTACCCCCCCCCCCCTTTTTGACATACATGAAGGAGTAGGCACATTTGTGATAGCTGCCATTTGACAAACTGGTGAACTCCCTTTAGATCGAAACGTTTCCCTGCACCAATCTTCTACAAGTCACTTCACGTCGATTTCAAATGCGTTATTCGAAGTACAAACAAAAAAAGTGCGTCCACTGGATAATTCGACCGCAGTCGTCGTAGAGAAGGGCAGTTTACTGCAGAGTGTAATTGTGTCCTTGGAGCGCTAATTTCTGATTTCGAGTTCAAATGCAGTTGCTTTACCAGTTTAAGTTACCTACAATTCAAAGTTTTGGAATTTTCAATGCCTAGATGGCGGTGCATGAAAGTTTGTCCGGTCATGAAAATATTCTGCTTGGCGCAGGGTCCAGCCAACACAATGTACGCAAGAACTCAAACGCAAACATTTGTGATGCTTTACCTGCATAGTATTTCTTGTGATTTCCCTCTCCTTCTTTTCTCTCCCTCTCTCCCTCTTCTTCTCCGTCTCTCTCCCTCTCCCTCTCCGTCCCCCACACTTTCTAGGAGTCCCCGCTTAGTGTGTATGGATATATGTACATGTGTTTACGTGTGGGTGCGGGTCTGTGTTGGTATATGTATATGTGTGTGCGTGCATGTATGTGCATGGGTGTGTGGCATTGTGTCACATTTCACATTTCTAGTATCTGAAGAAACGATATCCAAGACACTAAATCAGCTTCAGAAGAGTATCAATAAAGTATCAGAGGAGCTGCGTCACCATGAAATCGCCAAAGAAAAGGAGGACTTCTTCTACAAACATATGTTTGAATTTGTCAACAAGGCCAACTCCATGCTCAAGTCGTATACTGTTCAGTTTGCCAAGCTTCAAGATCTGATCAAGAGCTTGGCTGGATATTACTGTCTGGATTTGAAGAAAGCTCCTATTGAGGAAATCTTCTCCGATATATCTACGTTCCTGGACAATTTCAAGGTATGAGCATGTATATTCCTCCTCTTGTCCATTGAAATAATGTTTAGGCAGCAGCAGCCTTGCCCTGCTTGCACGTGCTAACTTAGCAAACTTGCTGCGATTTTCATCTGATTCCATAGAATTACAAGTTGTACAACGCTGTCATGTGATTAGTACTGATTGCCAAGTATTGCTTGTGGAATCCTGGTGATGCTTACTCGATGACCCAGCATGTAGTCTTGGCGCTTGCGGTTGGAGTCAAATTTCGAAGATTTTATCCATCTTTAGTTAGGAGGTTTTGGAGGTGTCAACTGTTGGACAGGTTAAGAGTCACTCCTGTCACTTTCCCATTAGTCTTTCTGGACCACTCCCCCCCCCCCCTCCCTACTTTGGCAAGACCGGCACAATGAGTTTCTATGCATACCAGTATGCTTTGTGTGTATTAGTATTTATTAAACTTCATACGGATTGTATCACTATCTTTGGTTCCTCTAGGATGCTATGACTGACAATAAGAAAGAAAAAGAGCTGGAAGAGAAGAGGAAGCGTGCCAAGGAACGAGAGGTAATGTCCTGTAGTAAATGTTGAATTTCGAGATTGCTTTTTTGAGAATTGCACTGTCACCTCACCGCCTCTTTTAGGTACATGTTCTACTATTCTTTTTTTCTTAAATATCTTGTCATGCACACTTTGTGTGTATGTTTGCGGCAAGTAGAACTATCTCCAGTTAGCATCAGATGCTGTTCTGCTCTCACCCTGTGTGGATGCCGATCTGAACACTGGATCACCCATGTATTGCGCCGTGCATTGTGTTTGTCTGCGCCTAAGAGACTTTTCTTACCTGTGTCAGGGGTCTGCGCCAGGAGTTCTATTGATATTTTGTAGTGTTTAAACCGAACACGGATTCTTCGAACGAATAATCTATCGAATAATTTCGCCCTCCATCGAACGAATAATCTATATTCTATCATACGCATGATGGCATTTTTCAACACTTTTTCAGCACTTTTTAAGTAGTTTTTTAAATAATTTTTTTGCTGATTATCGGATTTTGTTAGGTAGAGGTGCAAAACCGGTTAACTTGTACCGCCAAGAGTACATTACCCCCCCCCCCCCCCCCAGAGTGTGAAACGCCTGATCCAGCTCTGCAAAGGGTCTTGGTCGAAAGTGGTCAAAGACCGAAAATCACATTCACTGCATCCATGTTTCCCTCGTATGGAAAGAAAAGAAGTACATGTACATGTATTACTAGATATTATTATTTTTTTTATTTATGCATATTTTGATAGGGCAGATACCGATAGGAGATTAAAAAAATCTTGGAGGAGAAGTGATTGAGAAGAAATACTATGAGCAGATCTACGCAGTGCAAATATCAGTAGGGTTAGCACTGAGCATAGATGGGGTTTTTTTTGTTTTTTTTCGATTTCTGATAATTCCTACGACTATTCGATTATTCGTTCACCCCACGAATATTCTAAATTATTCGATTATTCGATTATTCGTTTCAACACTAATATTTTGCTTTCCACAACCCTGTGTGCTTCCCATTTATCCCTTGGGGGGGGGGCTTCTTGCATTGTGTGTTGACATTAGCAACTGCCCTGTGTTTGTTGTTCACTGGTTGTAGGAGCGTGGCAAGGCAAAACGAACAGCGGCTGCTCAAGACAAAATGGAGAAGATGAAGGCAATATCGTCAAGTAAGCTATTATTTTGAAAGCCTAGTGATCAAGAGTAAATAAACTCCCAGGAGTGTCCAACTCTGCATACAGGGTTTCCAGCGGCGAAGGCTAGCGTGCGCGCAGTCCGAATATCTGCCAAATCATGGCTAGCGCCTCGCGTATTAAAAGCTGCGTGGGTTTCTGTCGAGAGTGCTATTTTTCAACTCCATTGATCGCTGAAACGGGCTGGGACCATACACAGCACGTGCTGTGATTTCCCGCAGTCGGCAGCAGACCCCATAGAAAGGGTATCCAGAGTGTACACTCTTGGGAGCTTGTGTACTCTTGCTAGTACCGTAAAGTACCAGCAGAGCGCCCCGTCTCGCAAGAGCGCCCCACCTTGATTTTACAGCCAAGGGAAGAAAATCATATGGCAGGATGCTACTAAGTTTGTACGATGTGAGAATCTTCGTGTACTAAGGTCACACTTGGTATGCTTTTATGTGGCGCTCGAAGGTAAACTGGGTACGGATTGATTGCACAATGTGCAATGTTTGGACAAGGTCCGTGTCGTATGACCTACAGACAGGAATCCACCTCCACAAGGCGGCCACGAAAGGACGAGATGGTGGGGCGCTATGGCGGTACTTTACGGTACTAGTAGGAGATTCACACGCACACACACACACCATTTGACCATTTTGACCATTTGACGCCCATCGCCTCCGGCACCACCCTCACTATGTTGAGTTTATTGAAATAGCTGCTGTAGCATTTCCTACCCGTTTAGGCAGAATTGTCCATGATGTAATCGATGTGCTAGTGCCTGGTCTACACAAAAATGAGAATAAAGGTGCCCTAAGGCATCCTGCCCATGACGTAACGGCCATTGAGCAAAATCTCGTTTGGATATGAAGAGCTGAGATGCATAGCCCGATGATCACCAAATTTGAGAAAATCAGATTTTCAGCTCAGTGTGATCAAAAGGTCTAGGGGCACCAACAGGCAAAATTTCACATTCAAAATCGGGCTAGAGCCATTTCAAAACTGGAACACAGATGACTTGTGTACTCCTCCATAGCACAGCACAGAGAAATTAGGTCCAACCTGATGGCAATTTGATCGATGGGGCAGGCCTTTTGCCTGGTTTCATATGGGTGCAGAGGCTTAGCTTCAAGTGTGCTGGTAGAGTCTTCATGGGCCTTCTCTGCCAGACTTGGGTGGAAAGGGTTTCTGGCAGGTTGATACCAACTGGTGAATGATGTAATAAACTGTCGGGTGCTAGCTGATACTGAGAGATTTTAGTATTAGTAAGTTCTTTTTCGACCAGACGAGACCACGAGACGCTTGCAAACGCTTGCTCGAAAAGGAACCTACTACAGTCTGTGTCGGCTATAGAGTGACCGGATATAAGAATATATCGGCTACAGTGATATTGGTACGAAATATCAAAAGCAAAACGTATTTTATCCAGTACAAATATCACTATAACCAATATTATCGGATGTAATGATATATCGGATATTATGATGGCAACAAAGAATCAAAACATGCATAACACACTATATTATTATCGGCTATAGTGATAACTTTAAAATACATGACTGTAGCAATAATATCAAAGGCTGTATTTTTTTTACTTTCTTCACGTTCCTTATTTTTATAGTGATACATTTACATGTACATAACAGAATTTTTTATGGAAATGCGGGCACTGTCAACTATGCAGCATGCTCATTTGTCAAAACGCCATGCTGGACGTATTTCCTTGCCTTTCATGTGTCGATCGAAAAAAAGAAAAAAATCGATCGTATCGCATATAGTGATGCATCGGTTATACAGTGGATATCGGTTATAAAGTCATCGGACATAGTGATAAACCGGCTATATTGATACAAAATGAAAATATCAAAAGCAAAACCAGAAAAAGCCAGTCAAATTATCATTATAACCAATATATCGGATATAGCGATAAATCGGCTATAAGGATACAGAATCACCATTCAAAACATCTCTTTGTGCAGAACAAATATCGTCTATAATGATAGCAACACTCGAGTGTGAGGCATTGACGTCTCGACTTGGAGCCACATGTGTGTTTTCATAGTGTATTCTGGTCTGATGCTTCCTGGATGATGCCTTTGGGCCAAGAAGTTCTTCACTCTAGACTGGGGAAGGTGCAGCAGCATGCATCATGTATCAGTACGCTACATTACTCATTAGCGCGATCGAGTACCCACACGTGTATAATGTGTATGTAAGACGAGCGCAGTTGAAAATCGCCAGTAGTGATATACCGGTTATAGTGATAAAATGTGAAAAATCAGAAGGGCACGTTATAACCAATATCTACTGTAGTGATAAAATCACGGAAATCAAAATGGTACGCCGATACGGACTGTACTACTATGAATGGACGGACCAAATGAAGATGGCATCATCAAATTATGATTGTTGTTGTTTATACTTTCTGCAGGTGTGTGCAGTTGTTGTTGTTCATACTTTCTGCAGGTGTGTGCAGTTGAATATCAGCACATACACTTCTATGCAGACGTGTACTATAGTTGAATACAAGCACCTGTGCTTTTGTGCACGCGAGTATGGTACATATCTACCTATGTGCCAACAACTCCGATCTTTACACTCATTTGAGAAAGCGAGGGGAAATACTCGTGGCACATCCAGTGTATGTATGTGTTTTGTCTACCTTTCTCCAGTGCCGTCTGATCAAGCTGGAGTATTGGATGACTTGATGGATGCCCTCAACTCTGGTGCTGCATTCACCAACTTCAAGCGCACTCGCCCGTAAGTACATTCCGTATTCAATCATTCACCCACTTGTCACAACCTCAACCAAACACCATGATGCTGAGATGACGAATCCTGCTGTACTGTTGCCGACACTCGCTTTCTTCTACATGTAGTCAAGACTGGCGGCTCTTGATCGATTATTGACTTCTTTATCTTTGTCTTTCCTCTTGGTCACATTGGTGCACTTGCAGATGTTCCACTCTGCAGTTGTGTCTATATATATTTTTAACTCCAATTGTCCATGCTGGTATTCGAGCACTGATAGTTCCACACTTCTGTTTCATCACCTCCTCTGCGTTGCCATCCCTGTTCTATTTTTTCCCGCTTCGAACCTTCATTAATTTTAGTTGCTCTCGTGAAAAATTCTTTAAAAAACCTTACCCGTACCTGCTGATTGTGCTTTAGAACAGTGCTGCTGCTGCTGCTGCACGTGCTATGATTTATGCGTTATGCTTTATGTTGCAATTCCTTTGTGTGCATCTGGTGGCGCAGGCGCGCTGTGCCTTTCCGTGCCGTTTTGCTTCCCTTTTCGTAGAGTCTCCTCGGGAGTATTGGAGGTTGACGAGCAAATGGAGTGCTGCGCCATTTGCGTGTTTGAAGAGTTTATCTGTGCACGCGGAAGTCATTGAAAGATCTTCCTGCCCATAACCGTCGTCGCATTTAGTCCTCCGAGCCTTTCTGGTCATCTTGTTGAATATGGTCTTCATCGTAGTGTGTGATTTTGTGTTGTAATGTAAGCTTGATTCCGTAGTGTTCTTACTTGTAGGTTCTTAGTGTTGTGACAATGGCTGATCAGGACATACTGAACCCCCAACTTTGGGGCAGGAGGCAGGAGTTGGTGAACAAGTTTCCCGGGAAGCCTGTGACTTCAGTGGGCAAACAGTATGAACTCTGACACCACCCGGTGGTGTCCACACTATCCTCCTGGCCTCAGCAAGTTACCATCTCGGCGTCACACATCCATGTGCCTTGACAGTCAACAACGGATCACAGAGCACCACCGCCTGGCCAACTGGAAACCTCACTATAATATGCAGCCATAGTGGAGGCACCCGGTGGCGGCTGCTGCCCTGATCACCATCCATAGTCCAGCCTGCAATGTCAGAGTTTGCGCTCTGTTTGACAAAGCCTCCACTGTCACGCTGATCGACTTTTGACGGTGTATGCATGTATGTTTCTGCTGCTGCTAATTCTGGACCCAAAAGCCTACAAAGAGGCCGTTCTGGACCCAAAAGCCTACAAAGAAGCCTACAAAGAGGCCGTTCTGGACCCAAACGCCTACAAAGAGGCCGTTCTGGACCCAAGTTGCCGTCAGCGCCGCCTCATTGCTTTCAGTGTCAGCATTACCGAAGTGTTCCACCCAGTCCAGAGGCACGAAGCCGCCTGGGACAGCCAGCGGTTCCCGTGGCTTGCCTATCGGAGTACCACCTGACGTCTTCAGGATGAAAGTAATGCCATTTGGTGCAACCTCTCGTCTCCTTTGTCGGCAATGTTAGTGGTGTATCACACCCGGAGACGTGGCTCTGACTGTAGACTGCCATAATGGAGCATCATTACATGGACGACTACTTTGATTCCACAGGAGATGAAGCCATCTCACTGTCTGCCGATGTCATCCGCGTTACACAGGACAGTGTCAAGATCTTTCTTTTCTACTGCACTGAAATTTCGGCGAACATTGAGAAATTGTTGTAAATCGCTGATCTTTTCCTCACTCGCTACCGTGTATAACCTAAACGTGAAGAGTGTGCGCTTTATTCTGAACTCGAGAACTCTCCGGTCCTGTATTTCTGATCAGTGTGCTTAAAATGCATACAGTCGCGCAATCAAATCGTATTCTGTGCTTAGCGACTGCTCACATACCATAAGCATCTGTACCCGCACTGTTAGGATGATCTGCCCGCACTCATCAAATGTGTATGTTTCCATCATGGATATTTGAAAAATTTCCGCCAATCAACAATTGCCATGCTCAAGAATGTGCTATATGCTAGTTTGCCCCTCCTGGGTTGATTTAGTGCAATTATATGTGTTCTATTCTGCATTGTTTCGTCTCTCCTTTTTTCTACAGTTCCAAGAAAGGAAGTCGTGTTACTATGCCGCAAGACAAAGACGGGGATGATGTGAGGAAAACTGAGCTTGGAGCGAGCCTTGCTCACCCTAAAGTCGGCGAGAGGTTGTCTAGTGCATCCAAGCCTCGTGCTAAGAAAGCTTTCTCACTACGCCGTGAGCGCAAGGCTGACATACCACCATGATCAGCTGGACCAGGACTGTCCGAGTACGGTAATTTTATTTTCAGTGAAATTGCAATGGGGATGGCAGGGGTGTAAGTGTTCACCGCCGCCAGTTATGGCTCTTCTATTCGTGCAGCGGACCCTTACACATACGGGTGCATGGAATTCAATGACATTGTGAGGAAGGGGAGCTACACGATCTTCCACAACATTCCTTCCCTGTAGATATGGTAGCTTCCATGTGGCTTACTCGACACCATCAACTGTGAGGAACCAAACACCACGCCATCCCCGACACACTCCTCAATATCTAGCGAACCACCCAGAATCATGACATGCTAGCGGTACAATCTTTTTTCTGCTTTTAATACTCCTGAGGCCGTCTGCCATTTTTACTGTTTTCTACGTTTCCATGACTCCTCATAATCTTCTGCTTCACTGCCCAGAACATGTCTTCTCTATCTTTTTGAAATGTTACTACTTTCTGCTGTCATCTAGCTGTGCTGCTGCTGCTGCTGTAAATTATTTTCCCGGTTTACTTCTGCTAATTAGTCTTGTTTTATATTATTGGTAGGCAGAGAAAATTCATGACACATTAGGTACCTTGTCTGTTCTCCCGAATCCTGTTGTCTGCTACTACCTACAAGTACGTTGTATATGCTGTTGTCTTGCGTAGATCGTGAAACAGCTATTCTCTCGCTTATCATCATCATTCATCACACACAACCATTCTGCATCTTTCTGCCTATTTTGGAACTCATCTACAGTTGCCGTCTAAGGAATCTACATCCAGTACTAATGAATATTGTCCACGCTGAAAAGTATGGTTTTCTTTAAAAAATATCTACTCAACCTATTCTCCTATTTGTGTGTGTGTGGGGGGGGGGGGGGGGTGTCTAGCCTATACACGTATACAGGCATATTTCTGTTTAGACCAGCAACATACAGCAACATACAGCAACATACAGCAACATACAGCAACATACAGCCGAACTACAGTTGCGCTTACTGAAATCTGACCCAAAGTGCAAGCTGGCGGACCAGTTCCGATCACATCATTGTGTTTGTGCATGTGTACGTCCAGCCGCATTCGTTCCACTTCCAGGACGTCAAGGGCCGTGGAAGTTGATGGTGCCAGCTTTGCACTTTGAGTCGGATTTCAATGAGCGGAACTGTAATTTTCGTAAACAACAGTGGGAAGTGCAAGGGCAGCAACCTAACTGCCTGTACAGAATGCTTTAATTAAGATCTTTTTGGTTGTTCCAACGAGGAACACACGCTTCCTGCCGAACTTGACACTTCAACTTCATCACTAACGCCGAAGTCGCAACTTCTAAAATCTTTTTAGATCTGCAAAGTCCACAATTCCCTGCACAATACAGCCGAATAAATTTTCATATACGAAATTGTGGGAGGAAGGATATTTTCATACCGGGATTCCGGGGCCAGAGAGTAGCAGCATCTGGCTAAAAGACGACATAAGCGAGTGGAATGTGAAACAATGTGGCTTTTGCCGACCGGCTGCTCGTTCTGTTTTGGGAAGGGTCTATTTATGCGAATTACACCGATGGTTCTGGGAGGCATTTGACTGTCCCCTTGGAAAAACGCGATTCCGCGGTCGCGGCAAATTTCGCAGAAATTGCCGTCATCCGCGGAAATTGCGGAATCCACAGTTTTGCCCGCAGAATCAGGATTTTAACGGGCAAATTAGTAAAATTACTACCCAGAAAGCAGCAGAAAAACTACTTTGCGATCTGTTTGAGCACATTGCTCTTGGCAGTGTAGGTGAGTGCAGTCTCTCCAAGATTCTTCACTCCCATTCAGTTTGTGACAGCAAAGAATAGCATGAAAACTGAAAAGTACTCCTTCATGCAACTAGTTGTCATATCCTCTACAAGGATTGTGAAAAACTTGCAGAAAGTGCCGCAGATTTTTGATTTTACTGCAGAAAATGTCGCGGAATAACCCACTATTCCCCGCAGAATTTGTCGCGGATTTCAGAATTCTTGTCCGCGTTTTCCAAAGGGACAGATTTGAGTTCCGCAAGTCATGGCCACAATGGTCAGGCTAGAACGTTCAGATTTCGTCAAGAATTGAGCTATGTTCTGAAATCATGTATCCTCTAAAGGCCTCATTCACTTGAAAGCAAGATCAGCTTCTTCTTTAAACTTTTCATGCAGCCAAGTGCTCTCACAATGGAAACACATGCAAGTCATGCACGGTGCAGCACCCGTATTTACATTTTTACATGGGAATACATGTGCGTACGAGTGTTGACTATTGTGTCCACTTCAAGTTCAACTCCTAAAAAGCCTAAAGGAACGCTTGCTTTTGACCAAAGCTGAAGTCTCGTCAAAAGGAACAAATTGAACTCCCAAAAACAACAGCAAAAGAGTAAAAAGGGCCAGATGGATCCACAAAAGGACATCACCGTGATGTAGAAACCTGGCACGCACAGTATATGCAGATAGCCAGTTTGCACAGAACGAAGCCTCGGAGTCCTACTCATGGAAGTCGAATAGACTGTAGGAGAATGCAGGCGTCCACACAGTTGATTGTACCAAAACGCATGAAATCCTAGTGATCTCGAGCACATGAAATCCTAGTGATCTCAAGCAAAAGCCAGAACACTGTTCCGAACAGTGAACAGTGAGGAAATACATTCAATGGACATCTGTTCACAGGCAACGCCGGTCGGGCTACCCGGGCTGGGGGAGCAGGAATACACAACGCCGGTCGGGCTGGGGGAGCAGGAATACACAACGCCGGTCGGGCTGGGGGAGCAGGAATACACAACGCCGGTCGGGCTGGGGGAGCAGGAATACACAACGCCGGTCGGGCTGGGGGAGCAGGAATACACAACGCCGGTCGGGCTGGGGGAGCAGGAATACACAACGCCGGTCGGGCTGGGGGAGCAGGAATACACAACGCCGGTCGGGCTGGGGGAGCAGGAATACACAACGCCGGTCGGGCTGGGGGAGCAGGAATACACAACGCCGGTCGGGCTGGGGGAGCAGGAATACACAACGCCGGTCGGGCTGGGGGAGCAGGAATACACAACGCCGGTCGGGCTGGGGGAGCAGGAATACACAACGCCGGTCGGGCTGGGGGAGCAGGAATACACAACGCCGGTCGGGCTGGGGGAGCAGGAATACACAACGCCGGTCGGGCTGGGGGAGCAGGAATACACAACGCCGGTCGGGCTGGGGGAGCAGGAATACACAACGCCGGTCGGGCTGGGGGAGCAGGAATACACAACGCCGGTCGGGCTGGGGGAGCAGGAATACACAACGCCGGTCGGGCTGGGGGAGCAGGAATACACAACGCCGGTCGGGCTGGGGGAGCAGGAATACACAACGCCGGTCGGGCTGGGGGAGCAGGAATACACAACGCCGGTCGGGCTGGGGGAGCAGGAATACACAACGCCGGTCGGGCTGGGGGAGCAGGAATACACAACGCCGGTCGGGCTGGGGGAGCAGGAATACACAACGCCGGTCGGGCTGGGGGAGCAGGAATACACAACGCCGGTCGGGCTGGGGGAGCAGGAATACACAACGCCGGTCGGGCTGGGGGAGCAGGAATACACAACGCCGGTCGGGCTGGGGGAGCAGGAATACACAACGCCGGTCGGGCTGGGGGAGCAGGAATACACAACGCCGGTCGGGCTGGGGGAGCAGGAATACACAACGCCGGTCGGGCTGGGGGAGCAGGAATACACAACGCCGGTCGGGCTGGGGGAGCAGGAATACACAACGCCGGTCGGGCTGGGGGAGCAGGAATACACAACGCCGGTCGGGCTGGGGGAGCAGGAATACACAACGCCGGTCGGGCTGGGGGAGCAGGAATACACAACGCCGGTCGGGCTGGGGGAGCAGGAATACACAACGCCGGTCGGGCTGGGGGAGCAGGAATACACAACGCCGGTCGGGCTGGGGGAGCAGGAATACACAACGCCGGTCGGGCTGGGGGAGCAGGAATACACAACGCCGGTCGGGCTGGGGGAGCAGGAATACACAACGCCGGTCGGGCTGGGGGAGCAGGAATACACAACGCCGGTCGGGCTGGGGGAGCAGGAATACACAACGCCGGTCGGGCTGGGGGAGCAGGAATACACAACGCCGGTCGGGCTGGGGGAGCAGGAATACACAACGCCGGTCGGGCTGGGGGAGCAGGAATACACAACGCCGGTCGGGCTGGGGGAGCAGGAATACACAACGCCGGTCGGGCTGGGGGAGCAGGAATACACAACGCCGGTCGGGCTGGGGGAGCAGGAATACACAACGCCGGTCGGGCTGGGGGAGCAGGAATACACAACGCCGGTCGGGCTGGGGGAGCAGGAATACACAACGCCGGTCGGGCTGGGGGAGCAGGAATACACAACGCCGGTCGGGCTGGGGGAGCAGGAATACACAACGCCGGTCGGGCTGGGGGAGCAGGAATACACAACGCCGGTCGGGCTGGGGGAGCAGGAATACACAACGCCGGTCGGGCTGGGGGAGCAGGAATACACAACGCCGGTCGGGCTGGGGGAGCAGGAATACACAACGCCGGTCGGGCTGGGGGAGCAGGAATACACAACGCCGGTCGGGCTGGGGGAGCAGGAATACACAACGCCGGTCGGGCTGGGGGAGCAGGAATACACAACGCCGGTCGGGCTGGGGGAGCAGGAATACACAACGCCGGTCGGGCTGGGGGAGCAGGAATACACAACGCCGGTCGGGCTGGGGGAGCAGGAATACACAACGCCGGTCGGGCTGGGGGAGCAGGAATACACAACGCCGGTCGGGCTGGGGGAGCAGGAATACACAACGCCGGTCGGGCTGGGGGAGCAGGAATACACAACGCCGGTCGGGCTGGGGGAGCAGGAATACACAACGCCGGTCGGGCTGGGGGAGCAGGAATACACAACGCCGGTCGGGCTGGGGGAGCAGGAATACACAACGCCGGTCGGGCTGGGGGAGCAGGAATACACAACGCCGGTCGGGCTGGGGGAGCAGGAATACACAACGCCGGTCGGGCTGGGGGAGCAGGAATACACAACGCCGGTCGGGCTGGGGGAGCAGGAATACACAACGCCGGTCGGGCTGGGGGAGCAGGAATACACAACGCCGGTCGGGCTGGGGGAGCAGGAATACACAACGCCGGTCGGGCTGGGGGAGCAGGAATACACAACGCCGGTCGGGCTGGGGGAGCAGGAATACACAACGCCGGTCGGGCTGGGGGAGCAGGAATACACAACGCCGGTCGGGCTGGGGGAGCAGGAATACACAACGCCGGTCGGGCTGGGGGAGCAGGAATACACAACGCCGGTCGGGCTGGGGGAGCAGGAATACACAACGCCGGTCGGGCTGGGGGAGCAGGAATACACAACGCCGGTCGGGCTGGGGGAGCAGGAATACACAACGCCGGTCGGGCTGGGGGAGCAGGAATACACAACGCCGGTCGGGCTGGGGGAGCAGGAATACACAACGCCGGTCGGGCTGGGGGAGCAGGAATACACAACGCCGGTCGGGCTGGGGGAGCAGGAATACACAACGCCGGTCGGGCTGGGGGAGCAGGAATACACAACGCCGGTCGGGCTGGGGGAGCAGGAATACACAACGCCGGTCGGGCTGGGGGAGCAGGAATACACAACGCCGGTCGGGCTGGGGGAGCAGGAATACACAACGCCGGTCGGGCTGGGGGAGCAGGAATACACAACGCCGGTCGGGCTGGGGGAGCAGGAATACACAACGCCGGTCGGGCTGGGGGAGCAGGAATACACAACGCCGGTCGGGCTGGGGGAGCAGGAATACACAACGCCGGTCGGGCTGGGGGAGCAGGAATACACAACGCCGGTCGGGCT